ACACACACACACACACACACACACACACACACACACACACACACACACACACACACACACACACAAACAAATCCTTTAATTGATTGTGATTAATTGCTACTCTGTAAGGTTTTGGGTGCCAGGGAAAACTGACACAACTGCAACTAAAATTGAACAAAAAACAATAATCCATTTTTGTTCATGAAATAAAAAATGAAAATTACTGCAAAAAATTAAAACATATATAAAACTAAAAGTAATACTAAAGCCAATAAAAACTAATGAAGCATTTTTGATCAAATGAAAGCTAATAAAAGCTAACAAACTTTTGTTAGCTTTTATATTTGATTGCTTTAAAAACGAATTAAATTCAACCAGATTTAAAATATAAAAGTCAAAACAAAATAAAAGCCAACGATAATGAAAAATCCCAAACTATTATTTCTATGTGACTATCTAAAGAGCAATGACATTAATTCATGGATGGATAGTTGCGCTACCACAACACTGGAACAAATTCTCCAGGTTGCATTTTTCTGCATTTTCAAGACAAAACATACTCTCATTCCATTAAAATATTCACAGGGAAATTGTTTGGTCCTTATAATGAGACAATAATTAAATGGCTATCTGAATAGGGATGACAACAGAGACAAAAATCACGATGAAATATGGTCAAATACAATACAATAAATTATAAATGTAATCAATGACACTTTTACAATAATAATTTCAACAGAAGCACTTTATGATTCTTCATGCGAATGATTTCTCAAAATGTGCTCCTTCTTGTGGTACATAAAAGGATCGCGCATAAGACCTTGTAAAGTGAATTGAAAGATTTGTTTGTAAATACTGAAGATTGACAACAATGTAGAACTGAATTGTGGAGCTATACTGTAGCGTCACACTCTTTTTCAACATGTCAGTCGACAGGATTTTTCTGGGCGGTCGCTAAACCAGTGACGCGGTTGGGCTTTCTGGCAAGACTCTGGGCAAAAGAAAAGCATCTCGTTTGTAAGGGGTCGTTCAAGGCCACATATGTTCGCCAAAAGGTCGCTGGTACTTTTCTTGTCGCACAGGCCTTGTGCAAAAAAAAAAAAAAAAAAAAAAGTAAACGTTTGCACCCTTGAACGAACCTTGATGAACTAGAACGTGAATGCACGTTCTGCTACCTTCGCCAGCAGTCGCAATTGTTCGCCCCTCAGTGGGATAGGGCTTTACACTAGACTGCGAGTGTTGTGTTCTATTTCCAAACGCACCTGAGAGTGTGGGCATGTGTTTGCTGCCATCTTCTGGTGAGATATAAAATTGCGCTTTTGTTTGTCAAAAGTGCTGAAGGGCGACATACAGTATTCAATTTATACCAGGGGCTATGGGCCGGTAAAAGAGAAGAGACAACATAAGCGGCTTGCGCGGTGAAGAAGGGACGACAAGCACTTAGGGGATGCACGGCTCCATCAGCAATCCCGGCGGGTTGACGGATTAGAGAAGGAATTCCCGCCGGATGAACCAATCCGGACGCCCTTCCTGTTTTGCATCAACAGCAGAGCTCCGGTTGCAGCGCGAATGCGGCACAATTATCAGTAAGCCACAATTAGCGACAGGAGACCAGATGTAAGAAGCGCTGATCCGACGTGAGAGCTTTCGCATGGAGTGCACGTGTATGTGTGCGCGCGCATGAAAATAAATATGGCACATGTCACGCTTATCGCGAAAATGAATAGATTTCTTTCTGACTCGTGCATGAAGCTTTCTGCCTCAAGCTCTACTTAGCAGTATAAAGGCTGTCCTCGTGTGCCTGTGTGTGTGCCCCCAAGTCAGAATGTTCCACTCTGTCTGAGATAAAAGCCACTCCAGTTCTAAAAATACTGACAAGCGAGGACCAATAACCCCCCTTTGTCTCCTCTGTCACCCCCTCCTCACACTAGCCTCACTGCACCCCCCCGCCATCCCTTTCCACCATCCTCCCACTCTTATATTTGGCCCCTACGGCCTCCTCTTCATCACTCGTGTAGGCGACTATGTCGTCAATCAAAGTGTGCACGCTAATAATATGACTGGCTTTGTGTTTGAACAATAATCCCTTCGAGTTCATTCGAAATGAATTGGCGTCAGTGCAACAGGAGCTACAGTATGTGACAAGTGGACGGGTTAGAATTTACAGTCAGCTACATTGGCCTTCAAAATCGAATGGCCTCCGTTGAAAATGGCGCTCACCTGCATGTCGGAGTTGGTGAAGGTGCATGCTGACAGGTAGTTGGTATGCATGGCCACCGACTTCTTCTTCGTCACTGGATTCTCGTTCGGGTCCATCGAGAGAGGGAACACACAACATTTGTTGTCCAGACCTCTGCGGCACAGTAAACACACACGATGATGGGCAAAATAAGATTCGGGTTTACGATTGCTGATTTAAGAAGGATTAGGGTTTTAATTTCAAATTATGGTTTCAAGAGAGGATTTGGGTTTCAAATTGTGGCTTCAAGGAAAGGCTCATGGTTCCTAACCTGGGTTAGTGTTTCAGGCCTGGGTAACACTTTCAATCGAGACTTCAATTTTCAACACAGAGTTATGGATTCAAATGAAGGTTTCAAGACAGGGTTTTGGGTGACAAATTAGGGTTTTAAGACGGGTACACACCCACACGCCACCGCACAACCTGAGGGAGCGTACGCACACGCCATCACCCACGTGCACGGCAGGCTCATGGCATGCTCCTGTAACAAAAACACCCACATACACAATGAGCTTTTTGACATGAAGTTCCAGAGGAAAGATGCTAGTGCTGAGTATTAATGAGGATTATGTTTTTACATTCATGTTGTTCTCTAAATCCACTTCGATGCATCCACGTGATCTTTTAGCAAGTATTTTCATAGGCTCATAGAAGCTGTCGTGTGAAGCGAGTGGACAGTGTGGCGGGTTCTACTGGCAGAACCTCTTTTTTGTTGTTGTTTTTTGTTTAATTTCATCATGCAAACAACACATGGCTCACTCAGCATTTCCTACTCTGAAAATTGTATGAAACATTTTGCTCAGCAATGAGCAAATGTGGTGACGGAAGAGATTTTACTGTAGTTGTTACTCGGAATGTGTTTCCACTTCAACGGAATATATATAACCTGTCCAATAAACAATAAAAATAAAAACTATGTCACAATGAGAGGTTGTCTACAGTAGGGGTCCCCAACCACCGGATCGCATATTAGACAGACCTGCGAGCTGTGCCGTTAGCATATTTACTTCATCAGACGTGGCGCAATTATGCGCAACTTTAGCCAATCGGAGTCCCTCTTCTAACATTGGGTTGCAAGTTGAAATAAACAGAATTCGTCAATAAATGAAAGAAGAAGCAGTACACAGAAAGCCGTTGTAACAAATTGCCCAAAGGTATGGGCAGCCATGACTTCCGAAGATGACGCTATTTTGAAAAGAGAAGTTAGTTCCTCCCCTGGCGGTATATCTCTCAAATGCGACATGGAGGAGGAAGCTGTGCGTGCTCTGTCGTCTAAAACAAGGGAATATAATCAACCCGTTGAATCATTTGAACAAGTACAGTAGCACCCAAGTGGTCAAGTGGAAAGCATGAAAATTCGAGCAGAGTTTGCCTGCCCACGTAAACAGTCGCACTTTAGTCGCTAATAACGAGCAATCAATCGTGTTGGTTTTTTTTTTTGCAAGTAGCAATGACGATAACCCCGTATGTAGGATCGTAACTTAAAAATGATTGTTATAAGGCGTATTTATTTATCCGAATTGCTTCATTTCTTAATACGTCACTGTGTTGTTTTATTTTACTCTGTCCATTTATTGTGCAGTAGAATACCACAGTTTGAAATGAATGAAAAAATAAATTGTTCATAAAATGTTGAATTTCTCGATAATTATCTTTGTTTTTAGTGACAGAGACAGTGCTTTAAAAGTGGCAATTTAAAAGCAATGAAAAAAATGGTAGCGACCCCACATGTCCTTGTCTCAACTGGTCAGTGACACAAAAAAGGTTGGGAACCATCGGTCGACAGCACAATTCTGTCATACAATTTAAGAACTTAACAAAAAAAATATTTTAAAAAAATAATGCCTGGGAATGTATACTCATAGCCATAGAAATGTGGGTTTCAAAATGTAGAAAAAAAAACTGTTTCCTCTTCAAATTGTTGAGCAGGTTCTAACAAATACAAGGGGTAAAAATACTTCATGTGAATGTATAGTATATGCCTAAGGTTCATACACATTTCTAATTCAAATCAAACAATATCTCAGCACATTTATAAATGACCTTTTATTTGAATGCAAATAAATACAAAGTGACATGACATGGTAGAATGCTGAAGGGAGAAGAAAATGGAAGCATTTTTCACTTATTATAGTTAACTTACCTTATTGAGTGTGAATGCATCCCACACAATTACTCTACCCTCCTACAAGACAAAAAAAATATGGAAACGTTAACTCAGAAACACACTCATGTAAAGTACATACAGTGGATCCGTGGTTTTCGAACGATTCATGCGTGTGTGCGTGTGTGTGTGTGTGTCTACCGGCGAAGAGCTGACCAAACGCCGCTTGTCTTTGCACCAGTCAATGCACAACACTTTGTTGTTGTGACCCTTGAGCACACGTCTGGTCTTGATGGACAGAGATGACAACACCTCCACCTTCTCTGCCACCTTGCTTACTGCACACAAAGAGGCAACACATTAGGATGGATTCACCACACTGCTTCATTAAACCTCAGAAATATTCAGCTGATTTTCATAAGTGCACTTGCTCATTAGAGAGCGTTACCTTAAAAAGATTGTGGTTAGAGCAACAACTTATTTCTGATAAGGTGACACGAATACAAAAGCTGTGTAAAAAGTATTCTGCCTTTACAAAATAATGGTTAGTTCTGAAAGGTGTTAATAAAATTATATATTGTGGGTGCATTGCACTATATATATATCGCGAAATGCACATTCATATTTAGATTTAGTTACCTTGTTGATACGTGACAGCTCCTCGACCCAAATGTTTCATTAGAAATGCAAATACATGTTTTCCAATTATAAACCAAAAACGGCAACCGTTGTCTCGCCCCCTTTAATGACAGGAAGCGTCTGCCAAATGGTCACTACAGAATCGCCATGTGTTTGGCGTGACTTACACTCGACGTCGTTGAGCTTGTTCCTCTCCTCATCCAACTTCTTCTTTAAATTGGCACTTTCCCTCTTGAGCGAGGCCAGACTTTCCCCCGCCTGGAGCCCCTGACACGCCATCTTCGCACATCCAACCACACAATCGGCACAAACAAACGTTCAGGAGGACATTCAATGGCGGAATTAGGAAGAAATGCGAAAGGGATGCTTGTGAACAGTGAAGGCAGCGTCCCGCGCGGGTCCCGTTCAGCGAGTATGAGTGCGCGAGCACGCGCGCCACACTCTTACGGCACGTGCGCCTTTCCGGTTGGAAGGCCCCGCCCCCACCTTTGCCTCTCAAGCTGCTTCAACTTATACGTAAATCGGAGCGCGCCGTGTGTCTACCACTCACCTATGCCAATAGAGTTGGAAAAAATATAAGATAAGATAAGAAAACCTTTATTAGTCTCGCAATGGAGAAATTCCCAATTCATGGCAGCAAAGCTATGAAAGGAAGAAGTAGAACAACAAAATATAGGAGCTGCTGGAAAGGCAGCCACTCTCGCGGCGCCATTTTGAAGTCAAAATAACAAAAATAACACAACACAACACATAGGACACAAGACAGTCGTGCAATCTTCATCACTTTTCTGCATACACTTTGTTGTCTGAAACAGTTATAGATGAAAGAGGAGAGGATCAAAGTGTCCTTTAACCATCCACTCTGTACTTAAATCAAAGTACAGATACTTGTGTAAAAATCCTCTAAGTTTAAATATATTGATAATATTTTTTAAACTTTGTTCGTAATCATATTTATTTGATAGGAGGCAGGCTTTTTTTCCATGGTGTATCATCCGCAAACATATTCCGATGTGGAATAATGTTGTAACATCTTTCTGGAACATTCTTCTTATGCGTCTATTGTTATTGATAGGACGGCTAAAGAAACACTTTTGTGCGCCTTTCCGGTTGGAAGGCCCCGCCCCCACCTCTCACGCTGCTTCGACGTCTACGTAAATCGGAGCGCGCCGTGTGTGTGCCACCCACCTACGCCAATAGAGTTGGAAAAAATATCCACTCTGTACTTAAATCAAAGTACAGATACTTGTGTAAAAATCCTCTAAGTTTAAATATATTGATAATATTTTTTAAACTTTGTTCGTAATCATATTTATTTGATAGGAGGCAGGCTTTTTTTCCATGGTGTATCATCCGCAAACATATTCCGATGTGGAATAATGTTGTAACATCTTTCTGGAACATTCTTCTTATGCGTCTATTGTGATTGATAGGACGGCTAAAGAAACACACTTTCCCCCGCAGTTGCACCTGTTATATGTGACAACACTATGAGGCAAAAATACTGTCAAAATCGAGTGTTACTTTTGCGGGCAATGCCAGTAAAGCAGATGGAATTTGGGAGATGACTGCATTACCTTCTCCACGCAGAAGGAGCAGTAGTTGATGGGCTCTGTCTTGATGTAGATGTTTATGAGGGGGCTGGCCTTGTCGCAGCTCTCACAAGGGCCAAAGGTGGCCGCCACGAATGTCTGGTCACACATGACTGCACTTGGGATCACACACACCCGCCTGTGATACACACAATCAAGAAAAACACAGCAATTTTCATTGTTACACTGCATCTTGGCCAGCTTCTTGCATTTCCCAAGTGTGTGTGTGTGTGTGTGTGTGTGTGTGTGTGTGTGTGTGGATAAGTAAATGGTAATCTAGTCAAGCCTGATCCTCCTGTAGGAGAACAGGACTGCTATTCTGGGAGCAGCACAAACACTCAGAGTAAAACACTTCACCAACAAAAAAGAGAAAATAATGCTCTCCCTCCATTTCTATTCAAGTTTGCATGTTCTCCCCGTGCCTCTCTCTGAGTACTCCGATTTCCTCCCAGATTCCAAAAACCTAGGTAGGTTGATTGAACACTCTCTGTTGTCCTTAGGTAAAGTTGTGAATGGTTGTTTGTCTATGTGTGCCCTGCGGTTGGCTGGCAACCGGTTCAGGGTGTCCCCCACCTGCTGCCTGAAGACAACTGGCATAAGTTCCAGCACACCCACGACCCTCGTGAGGATAAAGCGTAAATTTTATGCATTTACCTGTTGACTAAGTTGACTGCAGAGTAGCCATTCACTGTCATACAATTCAAATGTCCTCCTACTATATACGGAATAACATACTACAATAAACACAAATACAAATAAACAAGGGACATCATTCTTACCTCAGAGGATTTCCTCCCAGATTCCAAAAACCTAGGTAGGTTGATTTAACACTCTCTGTTGTCCTTAGGTAAGGTTGTGAATGGTTGTTTGTCTATGTGTGCCCTGCGATTGGCTGGCAACCGGTTCAGGGTGTACCCCACCTGCTGCCCGAAAACAACTGGGATAAGTTCCAGCACACCCACGACCCTCGTGAGGATAAAGCGGATCAGAAAATGGATGGATGGACAATAGATTATTTTATGCATTTACCTGTTGACTAATTGACTGCAGAGTAGTCATTCACTGTCATACAAATTCCAAATGTCCTCCTACTATATACGGAATAACATACTAGACTTAATAAACAAGGGACATGATTCTTACCTCAGAGGAGATTTTTTTGGGCGGGTTACGTTTCTGTATGTCAAGCAGGTATTTTGTCCCGGTGGAAGTGAGTTGAGTTTTGCACTGAAGAGGATTGCGACTAAGCTTCTTATGGAAATGCTACAGCTTGTGACTCTGCCCTGCTTCGGCTGGATACACCTGGTGCCACCATCAAGGAACATACAAAATAAATAGGTGTAGAATAAAAAGAATTCTGGAACATTAAAAAAAAAAAAAAATCAGTTAACAGCTGCCCTTCAAAGAATAAAAATGAAGAAGGGTCTTTTTGCACCGTTGAGGAAAATCAACACAAGATTGAGAAGGTATAATCTTTGATCAATATTGAGCACGTTGCACTTTTATGTTATTGGAAGGGGGCCACTATTTAAAATCAAAGAATAATAATCCCTGGAAATTTAGAAGACAATTTAAAGCTAACAAGAAACATGTAGCAACTGGTCTGGCCTTGGATTTAAGAGAGCTTGTGTTGGATGTGCTTCAAAACCAACACAGATCTTGGTGTGGCATTTTCAAATAAGATTGTTATCGGAAAAGAAAGAGAATTCACTATAAATGGCAGTAAATGCTATTAATTGAACTTTAAAATGGCGTTTTTTGGGATAAACTGCAAAAAAAACAAAAACGAATGAATTGTCCTTGGCGCTCCAATACTTTTGGAGGGGACTGAACATTCTCTTAAGATTAATTGCTGGTTTGTCAGAAGCTCACGCAAAAGCTAATGACACCAAAAAGGGGAAAGAGACAAAACTTCTTTCACACAAGCATGTCAGTGCTTGAATTCTTTTATTCATTTTTGTGCCGTGGATTGAAGAGAGCCTGTGTTGGATGTGCTTCAAAACCAACAGAGATCTTGGTGTGGCATTTTCAAATAAGATTGTTTTAGGAAAAGAAAGAGAATTCACTATAAATGGGAGTAAATGCTATTAATTGAACTTTAAAATGGCGTTTTTTGGAATAAACTGTAAAAAAAACAAACAAAAACGAATGAATTGTCCTTGGCGCTCCAATACTTTTGGAGGGGACTGAACATTCTCTTAAGATTAATTGCTGGTTTGTCAGAAGCTCACGCAAAAGCTAATGACACCAAAAAGGGGAAAGAGACAAAACTTCTTTCACACAAGCATGTCAGTGCTTGAATTCTTTTATTCATTTTTGTTTTTGTTGTACTTTTACAGATTTGACAATTTATTCCAACTTTAATAACGGTGAACACATCCACTAAAGCACAGCTACTAGAATCTACAAACAGTCCAGTTTGTCAAATGGCTGGTCAGAGAGATGATGACTGGATGACAGGGCATTGGCAGGCGAGAGGGCGTCACCTTCCATCTCATCAGTGATGCAAAATGGCGACGAGTGATGGCGGTCTTGAGTACAGTCTTCCTCTGCAAGTGTTTTAAAAAGTGCATCTGACTGTGCGGGACAAAACAAAAAATACCAAAAGAAATATTTGCTATTGATCTTACACTCCCAACTAAAGAGACTTGACTTCACAGACGACCAAAACAACGCCACCATCCCAACCAAGTCACGCGTAAGGCTTTGCCCACTACTAATGTGATGCTAAAATCATGATATCAAAATTTTTCATGTAACATTCATCAGGGGATGAATACATCCTTTAAATAATTTTCTGGCCCTTATACAAACTGCAAGTTTCATTTCTTAACAAACGTACTTTATCCATCAGCCCAAACAATAATAACACGTACTGACCTTCTCCACTTTTGTTCTGGTAAAATTACCACTGAAACATCATGAGAACTGCCGTTTACATTTTACAATTAAAAAAGTCTTTTTTTTTTTTACCAGGAAAGCAGAAAAGTGTTTTTAAAAAAAAAAATGTAATGACATGTTGGTTTGATAACTCGCGCTTCCACCAGAGTAGTGCCAATCATGCAGTGAAAAGCGTCATCTCAAGATTTTCCCTCAACTATTTGCATTGAGCAGTAAAGTTGGGTTGGGAGCAGTTTCACTCTAAGTATTACCTCTGCCAAGCCAGACAACGATATTGATTCCATCACTACAGGTTTGTTTTGTCACTGAATGGCAATATGTGAAGATTAGGCCTGAACATGCTAGTGAGGATCCAATAAAATCACCCAGTGTTACAGACCACTTGCACTGGGGTCAAACTAGCTAACTAGTTTGACTAACCAGATCGAGCAAAGGGAGCTATCAAGGAAATGGCGGTGAAGATCCGACGTACCATCTCACTTTTAAACACCATACTAATCTCTCAAAGTACCTAAAGAGCGGCGCTAGACTCAGTGTTGTCACTTGATCGGCTGACTGAAAATAGTCACTGGAACTGTACAGCTTGGTGGAAAAGTGCATTCAAATCGGGAAAAAAAAAAGGATGCGAGAAGAGTTAAGTCAAAAATAAACAGAAAATAAATACTGTCTCTTTGAGGGTAAATAAGGTTCAGGTGGAGGGAGGAGGTTAACACTGATGGCAAACAACATGAGGGAGCAGGGCAACGGAACCACACGTGTCTTTCGGACAACATAAATCATAACTCCAATATGCTGGTTCTGCAAATTTTGCAGCCCGTGCAGTCTAGAATCCGCCGTAAGCATATTTATTAATTTAGGTCCTGCCAAACACACACACAAAAATAAACGCCTGGTTTTTGGTCATAAAAACGGTGCGCATTTTGAAATGGTAAAGACAGAGAGAGCGAGAGAGAGACAGAGAGAGCGAGAGAGAGAGATATGACATGAAGCTGTTTGAGGCACTGAAAAACAAGCTCACAATGCTGCTCAATAATAAGAAAAATAAAGATCAATAAATAATAACAAAGCGATAGCGCCGCCTGTCGAGCGACAACCTGTGCTACATACACATGATCCGATGAACGGGATGACTACTCTACGAGCCCTGCCGCCGAACCAAACTAAACGCCTCTCGGCTAAGCGGGAGGATAATGCAATAAATACATGTATTGTTCATATTTATATATATCCATCTATATGTGCATAAAGAACAGAGTGCAGACGACATGCAGTCGGTCGTCTTGGCTTGAATGAGCATGAGGATGACCAAGTGGGAAGAGATTGTTTGTTATATAAACGCCAGACCGCGAAGAGCTACTTAAACTGAATACAGTGCTTCCCAACACTGAGATCAGATGCCGGGGTCATTTTCCAATTTCACTCAATTAGTTCGCAAATGACTTATTTACTCCAAATAATGTACGTATGTTTGCTCAACTATCTATGACAGCAATGTAGAAGTGACAGGCAGAACGATTGAATGCTCTTCCTCGATGACGGAAGGTACAATTAACCTGCGTATCTCACACCGAACACTTAAAATTTGTGAGTAAATTCGGACCACATCGTTATTATTTCAGTATGAGCACTTATTTGCAATTTTGCATATTAGCTGATCCCTTCTTCCATTATTTGCTGTGATCATGCCAGGCCAAAACCCTGCCGGATCCACCTGGGTGGCATCATGTTGCCAAGCCACAACATGAACTAACATTTCATCAGGCCATAGCCTTATCTAATAGAAAAAAAAGTTCCTTGCCCTTTTCTGGGATCTTGAGGCAACCACAATTTTTTGTGGGTAGGCGTCACTGTTTTTTTTTTGTTTGTTTTTTTAGTCTGGTGGTATGCCGTGCGATTTTCCCGACTTAAAATATGTGTCTCAATGAAATTTGGGAAACACTGGTCTCACAAATGTGAATAAAACACCACGTGGAGCATGCACGATGTGTTTTGTGACGCTCACGGCATGTGTTTGTGTGTGTGAGACAGAGGTGATCACAGAAGGTGATGACTATCCCCTCTCCCCCGGCTTAGACGCGGGTGAGGAAGGCCAGGTTGAGCGAGCTGGGGATCTGAATGGTCTCCAGGGCGAGGGAGGACGGATTGAAGGGGAAGGTGATCGGGTAGATCATCTTGGTGTCCATCAGCAGCTGTGGACTCTCGCAGCGATCCCGCAAACGAGTCTGGTGAAGGGAAAGAAGGTTGGCACGCGTGAAATGAGCAATTGTAGTTCTCCAAAGCTTCAAAAATGAAAAAAAAAAAAAATCCAACATATGAGATTTAATTTTTTTGCGTAGAAAACATATCGTATATAAAATGATCATGAGGATAGGAGAAAATCTTTTTCCAGTGTTTTTTAATTTTTTTTTTTTTAATAGTAAGTGTAATTTAATACTCAAAAGTTTAGATGTTAGTTCATTAATATTAAATGACACACAATAAAGTCATTTGAGAAGCTATTTTAAAAATAATATGGAGTTGGCTTGATTGCAACCTTTTATTTCAAAACAATATATAATTACTTAATATACATCTATTCATCCATTTTCCATACCGTTTCCCCTCACTCAGTCATATAATGATGGTAGAATGTTCAAATACCCACTCCCGAAAAAACGTCAGCCTCTCATAGAGTGGATCTCCGTGTCATGAGTTGGCATTGGGGAATTTGCTGAATTTTTATTTGAACCTCTCCTTTGGTAACCACTGAAAGATTGACTGTGTTTGTGCTTCGGCCATAGAAAAGTCTTACCGTGGCGCTATCTAGTGGAATCTTTGTGGTAGTGTAGTGTTGTTCAGTTCGATTCATTGATGTTTTTTCATTTGTCTTTTAAATGTCCTGTTTTTTTGGCAGTCCTTGAATGCAACTCATGCTCGAACAGTCCAATTGAGTTTGGGGGAACGGGGAGGCATCTACTGACATTCACAAACATATTTTAGCTGGAGCAACAAGTAGCCACAGATTTTTGCTATTGGCGGCAGGGCTTGGTCCCAGTTATTGTAAAAGTGGCTGGACCTTCGGGCCCCGAAGTGAGGTTGTGACATATAACAACATAACATAGAAAGCTGTATTGCTCATCACCTGTATGGTTCGGATGAATGAAACTGACACCCTCTCTTCAAACTCATTGACTGGGGTGTAGAGGTTCAGGACCTTCACAATCTGAAGGAAACACACACAAAATGTTTAGTCCGATGAAACTTAAGTGACAAAGCAACAGGACGATACAATACGCTAAAACTGAGGTGATACGACGTCATCTGATCGATTTAGTATGAAGCCCCACTGCTGTATTGTGAACCAGCCAAAGGCAAGAGCGATTCTTAATCAATCGCAGAGATGAGAGACTCTCAGTACTCCAACGCGGCCCAATCTTTGGCGGTCTGGTTGTGTACCTGTGCGGTGGTGAGGGCCAGGCACATGGAGCAGATGGCTTCGGCGTCCTCATCCGTCTTCTTCTTGACCTGCAACAGCTGAGCGGAAAAAAAAAATCAGTTAACAGCTGCCCTTCAAAGAATAAAAATGAAGAAGGGTCTTTTTGCACCGTTGAGGAAAATCAACACAAGATTGAGAAGGTATAATCTTTGATCAATATTGAGCACGTTGCACTTTTATGTTATTGGAAGGGGGCCACTATTTAAAATCAAAGAATAATAATTCCTGGAAATTTAGAACACAATTTAAAGCTAACAAGAAACATGTAGCAACTGGTCTGGCCTTGGATTTAAGAGAGCCTGTGTTGGATGTGCTTCAAAACCAACAGAGATCTTGGTGTGGCATTTTCAAATAAGATTGTTTTAGGAAAAGAAAGAGAATTCACTATAAATGGGAGTAAATGCTATTAATTGAACTTTAAAATGGCGTTTTTTGGAATAAACTGTAAAAAAAACAAACAAAAACGAATGAATTGTCCTTGGCGCTCCAATACTTTTGGAGGGGACTGAACATTCTCTTAAGATTAATTGCTGGTTTGTCAGAAGCTCACGCAAAAGCTAATGACACCAAAAAGGGGAAAGAGACAAAACTTCTTTCACACAAGCATGTCAGTGCTTGAATTCTTTTATTCATTTTTGTTTTTGTTGTACTTTTACAGATTTGACAATTTATTCCAACTTTAATAACGGTGAACACATCCACTAAAGCACAGCTACTAGAATCTACAAACAGTCCAGTTTGTCAAATGGCTGGTCAGAGAGATGATGACTGGATGACAGGGCATTGGCAGGCGAGAGGGCGTCACCTTCCATCTCATCAGTGATGCAAAATGGCGACGAGTGATGGCGGTCTTGAGTACAGTCTTCCTCTGCAAGTGTTTTAAAAAGTGCATCTGACTGTGCGGGACAAAACAAAAAATACCAAAAGAAATATTTGCTATTGATCTTACACTCCCAACTAAAGAGACTTGACTTCACAGACGACCAAAACAACGCCACCATCCCAACCAAGTCACATGTAAGGATTTGCCCAGTACTAATGTGATGCTAAAATCATGATATGAACATTTTTCATGTAACATTCATCAGGGGATGAATACATCCTTTAAATAATTTTCTGGCCCTTATACAAACTGCAAGTTTCATTTCTTAACAAACGTACTTTATCCATCAGCCCAAACAATAATAACACGTACTGACCTTCTCCACTTTTGTTCTGGTAAAATTACCACTGAAACATCATGAGAACTGCCGTTTACATTTTACAATTAAAAAAGTCTTTTTTTTTTTTACCAGGAAAGCAGAAAAGTGTTTTAAAAAAAATGTAATGACATGTTGGTTTGATAACTCGCGCTTCCACCAGAGTAGTGCCAATCATGCAGTGAAAAGCGTCATCTCAAGATTTTCCCTCAACTATTTGCATTGAGCAGTAAAGTTGGGTTGGGAGCAGTTTCACTCTAAGTATTACCTCTGCCAAGCCAGACAACGATATTGATTCCATCACTACAGGTTTGTTTTGTCACTGAATGGCAATATGTGAAGATTAGGCCTGAACATGCTAGTGAGGATCCAATAAAATCACCCAGTGTTACAGACCACTTGCACTGGGGTCAAACTAGCTAACTAGTTTGACTAACCAGATCGAGCAAAGGGAGCTATCAAGGAAATGGCGGTGAAGATCCGACGTACCATCTCACTTTTAAACACCATACTAATCTCTCAAAGTACCTAAAGAGCGGCGCTAGACTCAGTGTTGTCACTTGATCGGCTGACTGAAAATAGTCACTGGAACTGTACAGCTTGGTGGAAAAGTGCATTCAAATCGGGAAAAAAAAAAGGATGCGAGAAGAGTTAAGTCAAAAATAAACAGAAAATAAATACTGTCTCTTTGAGGGTAAATAAGGTTCAGGTGGAGGGAGGAGGTTAACACTGATGGCAAACAACATGAGGGAGCAGCGCAACGGAACCACACGTGTCTTTCGGACAACATAAATCATAACTCCAATATGCTGGTTCTGCAAATTTTGCAGCCCGTGCAGTCTAGAATCCGCCGTAAGCATATTTATTAATTTAGGTCCTGCCAAACACACACACAAAAATAAACGCCTGGTTTTTGGTCATAAAAACGGTGCGCATTTTGAAATGGTAAAGACAGAGAGAGCGAGAGAGAGACAGAGAGAGCGAGAGAGAGAGATATGACATGAAGCTGTTTGAGGCACTGAAAAACAAGCTCACAATGCTGCTCAATAATAAGAAAAATAAAGATCAATAAATAATAACAAAGCGATAGCGCCGCCTGTCGAGCGACAACCTGTGCTACATACACATGATCCGATGAACGGGATGACTACTCTACGAGCCCTGCCGCCGAACCAAACTAAACGCCTCTCGGCTAAGCGGGAGGATAATGCAATAAATACATGTATTGTTCATATTTATATATATCCATCTATATGTGCATAAAGAACAGAGTGCAGACGACATGCAGTCGGTCGTCTTGGCTTGAATGAGCATGAGGATGACCAAGTGGGAAGAGATTGTTTGTTATATAAACGCCAGACCGCGAAGAGCTACTTAAACTGAATACAGTGCTTCCCAACACTGAGATCAGATGCCGGGGTCATTTTCCAATTTCACTCAATTAGTTCGCAAATGACTTATTTACTCCAAATAATGTACGTATGTTTGCTCAACTATCTATGACAGCAATGTAGAAGTGACAGGCAGAACGATTGAATGCTCTTCCTCGATGACGGAAGGTACAATTAACCTGCGTATCTCACACCGAACACTTAAAATTTGTGAGTAAATTCGGACCACATCGTTATTATTTCAGTATGAGCACTTATTTGCAATTTTGCATATTAGCTGATCCCTTCTTCCATTATTTGCTGTGATCATGCCAGGCCAAAACCCTGCCGGATCCACCTGGGTGGCATCATGTTGCCAAGCCACAACATGAACTAACATTTCATCAGGCCATAGCCTTATCTAATAGAAAAAAAAGTTCCTTGCCCTTTTCTGGGATCTTGAGGCAACCACAATTTTTTGTGGGTAGGCGTCACTGTTTTTTTTTTGTTTGTTTTTTTAGTCTGGTGGTATGCCGTGCGATTTTCCCGACTTAAAATATGTGTCTCAATGAAATTTGGGAAACACTGGTCTCACAAATGTGAATAAAACACCACGTGGAGCATGCACGATGTGTTTTGTGACGCTCACGGCATGTGTTTGTGTGTGTGAGACAGAGGTGATCACAGAAGGTGATGACTATCCCCTCTCCCCCGGCTTAGACGCGGGTGAGGAAGGCCAGGTTGAGCGAGCTGGGGATCTGAATGGTCTCCAGGGCGAGGGAGGACGGATTGAAGGGGAAGGTGATCGGGTAGATCATCTTGGTGTCCATCAGCAGCTGTGGACTCTCGCAGCGATCCCGCAAACGAGTCTGGTGAAGGGAAAGAAGGTTGGCACGCGTGAAATGAGCAATTGTAGTTCTCCAAAGCTTCAAAAATGAAAAAAAAAAAAAATCCAACATATGAGATTTAATTTTTTTGCGTAGAAAACATATCGTATATAAAATGATCATGAGGATAGGAGAAAATCTTTTTCCAGTGTTTTTTAATTTTTTTTTTTTTTTATAGTAAGTGTAATTTAATACTCAAAAGTTTAGATGTTAGTTCATTAATATTAAATGACACACAATAAAGTCATTTGAGAAGCTATTTTAAAAATAATATGGAGTTGGCTTGATTGCAACCTTTTATTTCAAAACAATATATAATTACTTAATATACATCTATTCATCCATTTTCCATACCGTTTCCCCTCACTCAGTCATATAATGATGGTAGAATGTTCAAATACCCACTCCCGAAAAAACGTCAGCCTCTCATAGAGTGGATCTCCGTGTCATGAGTTGGCATTGGGGAATTTGCTGAATTTTTATTTGAACCTCTCCTTTGGTAACCACTGAAAGATTGACTGTGTTTGTGCTTCGGCCATAGAAAAGTCTTACCGTGGCGCTATCTAGTGGAATCTTTGTGGTAGTGTAGTGTTGTTCAGTTCGATTCATTGATGTTTTTTCATTTGTCTTTTAAATGTCCTGTTTTTTTGGCAGTCCTTGAATGCAACTCATGCTCGAACAGTCCAATTGAGTTTGGGGGAACGGGGAGGCATCTACTGACATTCACAAACATATTTTAGCTGGAGCAACAAGTAGCCACAGATTTTTGCTATTGGCGGCAGGGCTTGGTCCCAGTTATTGTAAAAGTGGCTGGACCTTCGGGCCCCGAAGTGAGGTTGTGACATATAACAACATAACATAGAAAGCTGTATTGCTCATCACCTGTATGGTTCGGATGAATGAAACTGACACCCTCTCTTCAAACTCATTGACTGGGGTGTAGAGGTTCAGGACCTTCACAATCTGAAGGAAACACACACAAAATGTTTAGTCCGATGAAACTTAAGTGACAAAGCAACAGGACGATACAATACGCTAAAACTGAGGTGATACGACGTCATCTGATCGATTTAGTATGAAGCCCCACTGCTGTATTGTGAACCAGCCAAAGGCAAGAGCGATTCTTAATCAATCGCAGAGATGAGAGACTCTCAGTACTCCAACGCGGCCCAATCTTTGGCGGTCTGGTTGTGTACCTGTGCGGTGGTGAGGGCCAGGCACATGGAGCAGATGGCTTCGGCGTCCTCATCCGTCTTCTTCTTGACCTGCAACAGCTGAGCGGCTTGGATGAGAGGCTCCAGAGTCTCCTTGGCTCCACAATTCATCAAACCTTTGTCACGCAACCACTCCTCCAGTTGGCTCACATTGTACCTGAGACACATGCGCAACGTCAACATCCTCCATCTCTACATTGTGGCCAAACATTGAGAGATGCTCTCTACCTGATCTGCATGCCTTTGCTCCAGGAGCACATGTCCTTGCGCAGCAGCAGGTTGTTGAGGGTGACGGCGCCGATGACGTAGAACTGCTGCTTGACCACCTGCTTGATGAGCTCGGGGTCGGTGCCGTGCTGGCACATGGTGGAGTGGAAGGCATTGAGCTGGCGCAGGATGGAGTCCAGCGTGTACGTGCCCTCGTCGGCGATGCTGGAGGTCCGCTTGCGCAGGCCCGTCGGCTTCACGCCCGACACCCCCTGGATGGTCTCGTGCTCCAGCATGCCGGACACTGAAGCAAAAAATCTACTTAATCTACTTATGCCAATAAAATTTATGATTGATCATTCATACACTGACTACTACGCTGCAAAAACTGGGCTCAAAAACACAAGGAAAAAAAATTGACAAAAGAAGAATACTGTATATGACTCGATTTGAAATAATTGATCTACTGGGGCCCTAAGCGGACGCTTATTTGGCATATGCGCACCTATCATGGGCTGAAGTGTGTTCTCCATGCATTTGATGAGCTGCTGGTAGATCTGGATGGCCAGGTCGCTGATCACCGATCTGTACTCAGTCAGGTCGAAGTTGGACAGACAGTGCTCGTTCTGCCGGGAAGTGTTATGCTTCATGAAGACCTAGCAGGAAAAAACATTTATTTTTTTTTTTTTAGAGAAGAATAATGAAAAGATTATTTCATCCCGCCTTCCTCATAAGACTTCAAATCAGTTTCTGATTTTATCATGCTGGGGTTTTTATTATTTATCATGGGCACTTCAATTCTGATATGAATTAATAACGGAATAAATAAAATTTTTAAAAATTACATTTAAAAACTTTGACACACGGTGCATAAAAAATATGTACTGTTTTAATCTAACATATTTTAAGGACAACAGCATTCGTGTGTATTTAGCATGTGTTGTATTTTGCATGCAACACAAGACATTTAGACAGAATTATTTGTATTTATGTTGTTTTAGGTTGTTTTTTGCACTTTTGACACAAATGATTCATCGATTATTTGGGGTATTTTTGGAAGAATTTTTTTTTTGTACTGAGAGAGTGTAAAGGGACTTTTTACATCATCTCCACTGTACTGCTTGAGGCAATGCAGGAAGCGGCAGGTGTTGGCCAGCCAGAACGAGACCGTCTCAAAGTCATCTCCTCGTTTCTGACGGGAAGAAGTGAAACACACAACAACTTCTTTCAAAAAGACGTAAGACATTGCTACCTTGACTTACAAGTTCAATTAATTCCATGACCACACTTGTGAGTCAAATTACTTGAATCGCAAATCAAACCTTAAGGATCTTTTTGATGCTGTTGATGGTTGAGGTGAGCAGCGTGCGCACCTTCTGGTCATCATTGACATAATCGGCATGGCGAAGACACATAAAAAGGATGTAGGCGGGGAGACCCGGGATCAGGTTGACGGCCACGCCGCGAGGTTTTAGCTCTGTACGCAAGAAACAAAGTGGTTTTTGTTACGAGGTCAATTTGTACAGGGTGAGCAGTCAAAGCAAAAACACGGATTTGGATTATGTGAGAATAAACGGAGATATTTGCGCTAGCTGAGGTCTGTCTGTCAGAAGCAACGTCAAACTCACCGAGGATCAAGTTCTTGACCAGTTTTAGCTCGTCCTCCTTCTTGTACTCCAGCATACCCTGGAAGTCTTTTTCCCGGCGAGGAATGTTGACTGGGCGGATGGGCTCGTCCACCGTCTGTCCCGGCGACGTCTGACCCTCCGCTTGACCGGCTGCAACGCACGCAAGTTCCGATTGCAAGTTAACATGCAACTTTTTTTTTTTTTCAAGGTCCTCTTCCCATGTATTTTTTTAACAACCACAAGCAATAAATTAATCTATCACACAAGTGTGTTGTAAATGTCAATCAGAAAATGAAGCAGATTAGGTTAATAATGCAAACAAATCTGTGGCTTCATCACATCAACTTTTTATGTTTCATGAAACATGAAATGTGGAGTGCACCTCTTAAACTTACTGTATCGAGATACTCTATAAATAAATACGTCATCTTTCCCTACATTTAAACGTAAAAAAATAAAGCCTACCAATGGACTGAAATCTTTTTGGAAAATGTCATAAATTGCAGCTTTTGCAATTTGAAAATTGCTACTTAGCTTCTGTTTACATTGGATGATTTTATATAGCAACACTACTTCATGAAACTAATTTGAAGCTTCATTTGCCCATCACTAGTGTGGTGTAATTTTTTTTTTTTTTTTTTTTAATAACTGAAAATGTATCATGGTATATTGTTATTGTGATAGAAAATGGCCTATATCGTGTTAGAAGATTGTTTTCATCTTGCCCAGCACGACCTCCAAATTTGGAAAAATGTCAGTTTTGACGTTCTCAGTGATGGGGTTGCATCCTACCTCCCATCTCGCCGATCCTCTTGGAGTAAACCTTCAGCTGCTTCTTGAGCTTGCGGATGGTTCGGTCCTGCTTCTCCAGCTGCTCCATGAGATCCTGTCAGGTGATGGAAGGGAGAAGCAGACACAAAGCAGGTGAGGAAAAACCGCAAGGGTCATTTCATGCTTAATCAGTCCAAAAATCGGAAAAATGTAGCCAAGCGGATTTTGATTTGAAGGAGATGGCACTGTTATATCTCAGGAACTACTGGGTCAAATCGTCAGAAGACAAGCGTTGTTGCAAAGGGAATTCAACAAGAACTACAAATCTGCAATCATTTCAAGGATTGGTGTGTATTTTAGCAATTTCACCTTTTGACCAATAATTTGACCTTAAAATTGACCTCAAGGATCAGATGACCTGACATTTTTTTCATGAAATGTAATCTCTCACATGATGTAAAATTTGAGTTTTTGTGTTGTGCCATCTCGATCAACAAGTAGAGCAAGTTTCATGAAAATCAAAATCCGGTCTAGTCATGAATTCAGAGGGAGCAGAATCCAAACATTTCCTTCGAGACAAACAAGCCAAAGACAAAGCAAAAAGTCGTTTGCTCTCAGATGAAAACGAGAGCTGCTCGGCTGATTGGGAAGGAAAAACATTTTAGCGGGACTTGTTGGCAGTTAAAGGAGAAGAAAAAAAGGTGCATAGTTGCTCCATTGTGAATTAAGGCAATTGCGGTAAATAGCGTTAGACACATTCAGCCTTTTGGAGGAAAAAAACAAAACAGCTGTTAGTTCAAACCCTCGTGCAGAATACATAGAAAACACACACGCAGTCTGTACATACAACCATCCGGCGTAAAATGATGACTCGCGCCTCTCGGGATGCTGTGGGGTCATTGGCCGCCAGCTCCTGTCAGGTGACACCATCCACACGTCACAGAGTGCGCGTGTGCGTTTGAGACGGCCCTCTTTTGGGAACCTTTTTTTTTTTTTTAACTTATGCAGGCTTTTATCAAGTGCGCAACACCAAGAAAAAATAGGACTGGCGAAGTGTACGTTTTGTCACATAACATAACATTTTACTGCGATTTCTTTGAATGCTCAATCATTTACTTTTTGAAGACAATTTGTGGTCTCATTTTGGATCAAAATTTATTTATTTATTTGCATGAATTTGTGTTTTCATAGATTACGTCAACATTTGAGAAGTTAAAATAGTCATCAATTATTAAAGCCAAAGGAGAACATATGTTCTGTTTTTAGAAAGCTGAAGGCTGTATTTGGATGAAAAGTAATGTACAATTTCTTTTTTTTAAAAAATATTTTCATACTGTGAAAGGAGCATTTTGATTTGTGTGTTGCCTGACACCCAATTCATAAAAAACGTAAATCCTGATGATTGGCTTTCATTCAGAGGTTCATAAAACATGATAACAATAATGGTTTAACTAATGGATGGATGGACATATAATAATAACAATAATAATAATAATAATAATAATAATAAAGGTGGTTAAATCCACAGTGTTTATCTTTGAGGTACACTTGAGTCCTAGCCCAACCCCATGCTAATTATTCTCTCTCCTGTGGCTGGTGCTTCGCACTTATGGAGGTGGAACCCACGGAGGTGCAATTGAACCTTCACCTTTATCCACCTGTTGTTAGCGGTGGTAAAGAACATATGGGATCATTGTTGCCGTCATCTTGGGTCGAGTCCTGCTCTTGCTATGGCTGTTGTTGTGTCCATCCGTTCTCTCATTCCTCAAACCCTCGAGCCTGGTTTCTCTCTCTCTATTCTTCTGGGTTATGTTTCGCATTTATTCCTGAGAGGGGGTTTATCCTTGCCTCCTTTACAAAATGCTCACTCGCGTGGGGCTCGGTTGGTTTCTTTATGCCGTTTACGTCGAAAGTATGAGTCATGCCGTTCATGACCCGCTCAATGTTTTAAGAGCCTTGTGATAACGTCTGCTGTAAACCGGCGCTCTCTAAATAAAATCGACTTGACAGCCTACCAGGTTCTCGTTGGTGAGCCGGGTGATCTCATGCTGCAGACTGGCTTCGATGCGGGCCTCTGGAGGCAGCTGGAGGTTCTGTGCCAGGAGCTGCTGCTGCCGGTTGTTTTCCTCCTTGACGTTCTGCAGCTCGCCGCGCAGTGATTCCACCTCGCTGTCGTAACTCCGTCGCTGGGTCTGCAGCTGGTGCTCCAGGAGCCTGACGGGCAGGAGGGCGGTGGGAGACGAGACGCAGGAATGGAGAGCGGGAAGATGATGTGAGGCAAGATGGAGGTGTAGGGATGTTTAAGCGGGAAACAACACAACAGGGATGAGAGAAGACCAATTAGACTCCAAGTGTGACGAGAGAAGCAAAACCAGTTCAAGATGACTTCAGAGGGACTTTTTTCAGTCATCACCTGATATTCTGCACAAATCAAATGCTAGTTTTTAGAAATGACACATCAACTTCCTCCTTATTGAGTACTTCTCCTCAATAATGGACCAAATCAGTGCCAAATAATCACACAAACACGGTCACGCGCAGACTCATTCAAACACGCGGATACGCGTGCACGCTCAACTCAACTCAACTGCATTTGGCTTTCATTCAGAAGTTCATAGGAAATATCATTTGCAATACAAACACTCACTGACCGCCATCCGTGAGCAAGAATATGGCGTTGTCATATTTATACGAAGAAGATCTAAAAGGGTGATGGCAAGTGATCTAGCTATGCTATCCCCGAGTGTTCAGTAGAATGCAGAAAGGTCACACAGTTACACCTGACGGTCTCCTTTAAGCCCTCATTAACCAGCCACAGCTCCCCGTCTTCATTCAGCTTTTGGAAGTCTGGAGCAGTCGATCTGACCGACACACAACACACAAGGAACAACAAAAAAACAAACAAAAATAAAAGGGAACATGAAATGAACATGATGAAAGCATGCAGGGAGGGTGAGGTTAATGGACATTGCAATTACGATTTACTGGTGTGACTGTGGCGCATTGACTTCATCTTAAAGGCCAGGAATCACATACAATGTTGTCTGTGTTGCATGATTAGGTCAGTTCGGTTCCCTCAAATGCGGAGGAATTTATCAGAAGAAATAACAGAGAGCACAATGCACAATTTTATAGCATAATATATATATATATATATATATATATTAATATATTAAAAATGCATTAAGATAATTACAATGAAATGTGTTTATTCTCCATTATTTTATTGGAAGTACATCGGCATTATAGTTTTAATGCATTTTGAAAATAATGCATGAGATCAGTATCCTCGCACAGTAAACCTCAAACATTTTAAACTTGCCTTTCTTTACATGAGTTCGAAAAATAATTCTTTGAATCAATAACATTTAGCAAAGATGAAGATATTATTTTTATTAGTATTTTTATTGCTTTGTTTATTTAGGTATTTGTATTTTTCATTTGTAAATATACAACTTAAATTCCTCTTGAGGAAGGAAAAAGGAGGCGCTAAGGTGAGGTGCTTATTTGAGAAAATTATTTCATATTGTTATACAGAGATTATGTCAGTATGAACGTCCCCTTGACGCAGATTGTTTGTGTTGAAATTGTTAGTTTGAATGTGACTAAAAGAAAAAAAAAGACAAACCAAATTGAGAGAAAGAAATGGGGAGAAGCACACTGTTGCATGTTTTAAGCACAGGCCCACTGTGTAAAAATATGGTTATGACAAACAGGATGATGGATGGTGAATGAAAAAAACAAAAGGGGGGGGGGGACACATAGTGGTTCAATCCACTTAACAGACACACTATTAGGTACCCCTGCAAAATCAAATCCGGTCCAAAACAAAATCTGTCCCAAAAATACTTCCTATACTAAAAGTAATACTGCTTAGCTTTGATGGGATTTGCTCCCTTGCGAACCAAGCTCACTAGAATATCATTGGATAAATATATATGCATATATATATATTTTTTTATATCGCTCTTGAATTGGATTTTATTCGAGATGCAGGTCTATTGTTCGGATTTGGCTTTAATGAATCAAATTGCGCTGTCCACCTTTTCGCAAAGTAGAAATAAGAAGGGGCTCATGCAGAACACATTCCTTGACAGTGAGGCTGACAACTCCTATTGCGCTCAACCAGCTGCACGTTTTGTATGAGGACGTCCACATCAATGACCAGATGTGTCACTGCCTTCATAAAGTGCTTAAAAATGCTATTTGGAAGCGGGAAGGAAGACAACAACCTCGGTAAACTCTATTCGGACATGCTGTTAAGGATGGCCAGAAAAAAAAATCTTGATAGTGTGGAATCAGTGAGTATGAGTCACTGTTTCCGCGTGGCCATGGATGCTCGCCGACCACGATGCATGGACCACCTCATCTGTTACCTGAGCCTACTTAGCAGATGTCTGACTTCCAGCCGCTTACATGCAAACCTGGGAGATCTGCACGGGACAAGTTGGCATTCAGTCGTCAGTGACTGAACGAATGATATGGAGGGTTGGAAGAATCCAATGCTGAAAAAAGAGGCGGGGGGGGGGGGGGCAGTACCTGTTTGTGTCTTTGAGGCCGATGTAGGCTTGTTTGAGTTCATCAGCGTCCTTCAGTTTGGAAATGTCCTCCACGTGGACGGCCACTTCTGTCATCGTCTCCTAAAACGGACAAGAGAGAAGCAATATTGAGAAATGGTCTGTTGTCACATTGAAAGGGGATAATTACTCGTCTCAAAATTGCATTCCTCAAGATTTATAGCAGCACCATTGTGTAAACGTGGCTTTTGTACATAACATAAAGTAACATCTTGTGATGTTGACATTCGTGCAAGACAAGCGGTGGTTGAAACAATACCTTCTCATCCTGTAGAAAAGCGTGGATGGAGGAGAGAAGGTAGAGACAGGAGCGTTAGACACTGAGGGCGCAACCAAAAACATTCAAAACACACGAGAGCTCATGAGCAGGTTCACGGACATGAGGAATATGTTCAACGTCATACCGAAGCCAAACATACATGAAGTACACCTTCACAAGCCAATAAGATTGTTGTGGTTGGCAAATGCATTCATTATAAGATGTCTTCATGTTGATTTGATTTTCTATTTATTTACATACAAACGTAATGTAGATTATGTTCACACGAAACTTAACTGCGCGTTTGTTCAGATATTTATGGAAAATGTGTTCATGTTATGAAAATAAAACGAGTTATTATTATAATGGTTCTGTAATAAATGACGTATATGTTGAATTCGTATTTTACGTAATGGTATTAGTTTTTGATTAACTACATTTTTATTATTTAACGATGCGTACGTCTGAATTTGGGGATTAAAGCATCCACGCCACAGAACTTGAAAAAAAAATACGTGTGAAGATGTCAATCCATTACACTGACATTAACAAATGTTTTATGATTCATCCATATTTTATACTCATCAATATTTGCGTACACTACGTGTGGAATATAAGCGTTCAACTTGACAGCGGTTCGACTTCAAACCGAAACCACAATAAATTGTCATTCGTCTTGCGCAGGTGTACCTAATCAAGTGGCCGAGAGGATGGACGAAATGATCGGACAAACAGCCGACACGGGTGAGTACGCGTTAGTACGGCACACGTAAACATGAAGTGGCAGACTCAAATCAAGTGGACATGTCTACCTTGTGCTGCATGGCTTCTTTTTGGCTGACCAGCTGCGAGCGCAGAATCAGCACCTCCTCCTTGCGCACCTCCAGCTCCTCGCAGGAGGAGTTGAGCTGATCCAGGAGAACCTTGTAGGCCGGAGAGCCCGGTGCGCCGGCGCTCGATGCGGCGCCGCCCAGCAGGCTTTTCCTCATCTCGGCCAGGTCGTGCTTCAGCTTCTTGTTCTCCGACTCCAGTTCCTGACGCTAAGAAGGCCAAGGCCAGAGTGTGAGACTTTTGCTTACCGTAAAAAAAAAAAAAAAAGTGCACAGATAAAGCTTTGAACAACTCACCTTGAGGGACTCGTACTCCAACTCTGCCCCACGCGCCTTTTTGAACTCGGATTCATCCTAAAATAAGGAGCCAAGGAAGACCTTTAATGATTGATTGAGTTCTATTAACTGTGTAACGTGTTAAGTATGTACGTGTACCCTGGCTCGGGCCCTCTGAAACTGCTCCTCTTTGTTCTCCAGCTCATTGCGCAGCGACTGCTTTTCTTGCTCCAGCTCTGTGAGTCGCTTCTGCAGCTTGAGCGTGAGCGAGGTATCCATTCCTCGAGTCAAATCCTGCAGAGAAAAGCCATTAAAATGTGAACTTCCATTGACATATTGACGAGAGTCGAGAAATGCGGCAAGTCAATCTCGGAAGAACAAATGACGTACTTCTGCGGCAAGGGAACCTTCTTCCGATTCGGCGAACTCTGACTTGTAGGTGTACTCTGACTCGTTGCTGCTGTGGGTGGAATCCGTTCTCCTGTGGCCAGTCTTGGAAATGTGCTGAAAACAAATGGAAGTCAAAGTGAGCTGGGGTGGCGAGGAGAAAAAAAAAAAGTGTCACGCACCTCTTTGAGGTCGTCGTATTTCTCCTCGAGGCGAAGGTGTTCGGTCAGGAGATTCTGGTAGCGAGAGCGCTCCTCGTTGAGATCGGTCTCCAGCTGTTGAGTCTCCGCTGCAATCGCACGTGCCATTTTCTCTGTGACAAGTAAAACACGTACGAGGGACAACATTTAAGTGACAAGACTTCTTTCGTGGTTGGGAAGTAACGAAATACAAAAAAAAAAAACAAAAACCCGAGTTAAATGCTCCCGGGACCCGCCTATGGCACTCGGGCCGTATGTTGCAAAACATCGAAATCTCACCTGTCATCTGCTGATTCTGTTCCTGAATCAACCTGTTCAAGTCGTCTTTCTCTTTCTTCAGCAAGCCGTTCTGGTCCTTCAGTTCTGATACCATCTAACACGCAAAAGATCCAGAAATTAGATCTTGGCCATATTTGGTTAAGGCCAAGAAAGCTAATGAGAAAAACAGGGTGAGCCATGAGTTTTCCATGTCAGTTTCACATGACTAAAGTTACTGAAGTAAAAACCTATTTTAATTTGCTCGAACCATTTTAAAACTTTAAACTGAAATATTTTAAACATCCTCATATTCTGTAATGACATACTACATGATGAGTGATAATGTTGGGAAAATGATCTTGTTTCAGGGTTCCCACTCTTCCACTTGCTTTTTATTTATGGACCCTTTAAGGACCTTTGAGGGCTAATTTAGCCATTTTTGAGGACCTTTTCTCCATTCAGCAAGGGCTTCACGGTGGATTTAATGCCCACTAAGCAATATGCGGGCTAAACAGAAAGCCACATGTCACTGAGCTGGTGTTCAAATTATTGCTGCCAAAGGAAGGGCACATCTTTATTTTTAGGGGCAATCAGCTAACCCTTTATTTGACATACTGTATGTCCAATTTTCAAAAAACTTGAATTCATTCGCAAATAAAGTACACTAAGAAAAATTTAAATTTAGAAAATATAAAACTTCAATTTATTTTCGAATAAAAATAAATTTGTAATGATTTTATTGATTTTAGAAGCTTTACCTGAAAATTAACAATTAACATAATTTTACTTCTTTTTTTATGGATTTTTATAAACTTTAATGACCTGTGGGAACCCTGTATTTTCTAGTAAAAATTCATTCCTGTGAACTTCAATTCTAAGTACGTAAATTAGACGAATAAATAAATACGCAATCTCGTGAAAATTTAAATATTCCAAAATGGATGAATTGATATGAAGAAATCCTGTTATGAAACATCATCATTTGTTTCTTTCTCTGAAACAGCTGAATCTGCTCCGCGAAGCCATGAAGGCCCAAAAAAAGACTCGGCTACAAGCAATTATTCGTATTTCTACTTAAAGGTCCTACTTGACTAGGCTACAGCTCTTTGTCACCACATGGAGGAATCCTAACTGAAACACTAAAGCATAAGAAATTCTTTCCATACAGTCAAGGTCCATATGTCGTTGGGACACTGGCACAATTCTCATCGTTTTGGTCCGAAAGACCACCACAATGAATTTGATTAGAAATCTTGCTTAGATCACCACCAAGAAAATGGGAGTCACATATACAAATTATTGTAATTCCTACACCGTTCGAGTGATTTGGATGTCAATACTCTCACGCAAAAGCTGAAAGTCTGCAGTTCAATCACATCTTGTTTGCTTTACGGCCGATCCATTGTGGTGCTGTTTAGACCCAAGAAGATCAGAATTGCGTACGATGGCCCAATAATTGTTGCACCTGACTGGAGTTAGGATGCTAAAACACAAGCACAATACTGTGTGCTCACCTGCATGGGGGCAACTCGGCGCCCAATGCCCCCTGCTTCTCGGAGCCGGCTAAATTGAAGGAAAAAATGTTTGCCTTGGGTGCAGTAGTAAAACATGTATGTTGTCATGTAACCTCACAGGATTGTAGTGGGGGGGGGGGTAGTAAAGGGATCATTTTACTCAAGTCTATTGACCAAAAAAAAAAAAAAAAAGTTCTGAATGTACAGGTAAAACTTTTTTCATGATTGATTATTCTATCGATGAATTGACTAATCTGCTCAAAATGTATTTGATATTAAAGTTTGAGTCGCTTCTTCCTCTTGGTTATCAATTAATGAAAAGGGCAACTAGTTTGATGTACACTCTTTGGGTTCAACTCAATGTCACTTTCAGGGTATGCATACCGGGGCCACAAAAAATGATTATTTTCACCATCGTTGAAACTGAATTTTTCTCCAAAAATGGTTACGATTCACACAATGAGGAAGCGGCGAGTGGGGGAACTCGAGACACAAACAACTCGTGTTTGACAAGCAGGACGAGTAAAAAGGAGGAAAGAAAGTCACCAAATGCGAACGTACTTTCTCCATTTGGCCCTTGTACGACTGCGCCCAGTCCTCGATGGTCTTCTTCTCCTGCTGGGTGGTGCTCAGCTCCTTCTTCAGCTTCTCCAGCTCCTCCAGGAGACAGTTGACCTGGTTGCCTTTGCTCCTGGCGTCCTCCTCCACGCCTCGCAGGCGACCCAGCTCCCCGCGGAGCCGCTCGCTCTCCGTGGCGTAGGTGTTCTCCAAGCCTGCGAGTCTTTCGTTGACCGACTTGTTCTCCTTGCTCTGATGGCGGGTCACTAAAAGTCAGACCCGACAACAAAACACACACACAAAGCCGGGATGATGCGACGACCCCCGACCTGCTCGTCGATCTTCCTCTGGAGCTGCATGATCTTGTTCTCCATGCCCTTGTTGAGCTTCTTGAAGTGCTCCACCGAGCGGGCTTCGATCTTCAGCTTCTTCAGCTCGCGCCTGGCCCTCATCCTGCGGATGCAGCACTGCAGGTACACAATGGAGCTCAGGCAGCGCTTGTACCAGCGTCGAGCCAGCAAGCCGCGGGCGTGCTTCTGGATGATCACCGCCTTGTGCTGGCGAAGAAGCTACAGATGGCGGCACATGGGGTGAAAGAGAAAAAAGAAAAAAAACCACTCAATTTTGCAGTACCCGCATGGTTCTAGTTTTGTACAGGCCTGCCTTAAGGTAGCCAGTGAACCTTCAAATGACTGAGGCAAGGCTTGGGAGAAAGTGCTGTCGCTAGATGAAATTGATGTTGAACTATTTGGCATCAGCTCTATGCTAAGCCTTACCACCTGACACCACGTCTCCTGTCCCTATTCCGATTGTTGGATGCTCTTTTGCTGTGTGAAAAGTGTACACGGTTGCCGCAATATTTTTCTTCACTTGCTATCATGGTGCATAAGCATACCGGTTATGGTTGCGTGCGCCATTTTTTGGGGATAACTAGTGGAAAATGTGCTAAGAACCTATTAAACAATAAATCTCTGGCCCTTGATATCAAAAGCAGTTGTCACTGTCACTCTGAAGTCTTATGTGCATCTAGTTGTATCCATGCAGTTCCAAGTTACATCCGCGCCGTTTGTAGATGATGATTTTGAAATAAATCTCCCTATCAGGCCCAACGTTTTGAAAAAGTAATATATGTCAAAATCAAATTTAAAATGAAGGTTTTGAAGTGACCGAGTCTAGATTTAAATCTAATTGAATGCGCTGTTATAACATTGAAAACAAAATCAGGAATGAGAAATCGGCAAGGTGAAACGTACTTTTTGACAACACTGTAGAAGACCGATCATGTGTGTTGTTGTATGCGCGTGCTTTACCGCTTGGTACTTCTGGCGGGCCATGTAAGCTCTGAGGATAGTCTGGATGGCCAGGGCAGCCGCCTGCTTCTGCCGGTAACGTTTCCTCGCCACGTACATCTTCTGGTACTTCTGGATGATGATGGCGGCCTGCGTGCGACGCATGAACTTTGCCAAGCTGGAGATGAGAGAGGCCCGATTGGAGATGAGACAATGACGGAAATATTCCAAGTTGTATAAAGATCACGTGTGAGTGACCCACCAGCGAGCCTGGTATCCTCTGGTGAACCTCTGGATGGTGATGGCCGCGTCGCGCATGCGTAGGTACTTCTTGCGCGCCAGCCAGCAGCGGATGGTTTTCTGAATGCGGATGCAGGCGGCGCGCAGCTTGTCGGCTCTCAGCTTTTCCAGGTAGGCCACCTGGCCGGCCCGGAAGAAGATCTTGGTCTTGCCAAACTGATACTTATCCTGATCCTGGAAGAAGAAGGGAGCATGAAACATCACGGAGAGATGGACGCTTTGAGAAGAGGGAAAGTTTGCAAGGCGGACCTCCACGAGCTTCTCCAGAACGTTTCTGCATGTCAACTTCTTGTCAGAGAGAACATCTTTCTGCTTCATGAGCACTCTGTACCGGCTGAAGAACTCCTGGTATGTCCATCTGAAGTGTGCACACACGCAGAATCAGCAAACAAGCTCTTTCAAATGGTATGCAAAATAATCATTAAAAAAACAAACAATATTTCAAACATGCAATACAATTGCTCATTCTTCAATGACACTTGCAGCTAGACATACAGCCTGTTTGAACTTGTTTTTGTAAATCATGGACAGATTTTTTTTTTTTTTTTTAACTTTTCAAGTACAGTACATTCATATGCTGCATGCACCGAAGTCAAGTGAGCATAGCACCACACCATTCGCGACCCATGACTGTTGTTTGTATTCATTTCCTTTTTTTCTTTTATGGGTTAAATGTCATTTCAAAAATAATTTTAAAGCTAATTTGTAAAAAACAACCAGTGACGGACAGGCACTTTATTTGGTAATCTGGAGAGTCAAATTATTCAATTAATCGTTATTTTTCCCAAATATTTTTGTGGGATGGAGTTTTGCGGAATTGTCTGCTTTCACGCCAGCATTCTAATGAGCAGAATATAGCCACCTTCAGAAGTTGTGCCATAACGTGAACGGAGCTCAACTCCCCACAGATGTCATGCTTCGTGAATGCGCCAACTCATAGTTGCAATCCATTTTGGCATTAAATAGCATAGGCCTGTCAAGTAAGGAAGTTTGCAGAAATCTTTTCGGTACCTGGACGGGAAACCGGCAGCAGAGATGCGGATCGTCTCCAGGACGCCACAAGCTCTCAGCTGCTGCACCGCACGTTTTGGGTCAAACCTGCCAGTCAACACAATTCACAGATTTTACAGAAACAAGAAAAGAACATTTAAAAAAAATGGCTTTCTTTGTAGTATTTTACTGATGTTCAAGCAGGCAACTCACGAGAAAGCCAGCTTAAAGTCATTGGGTTTGATACAGCGGACGTAGTGCGGAGTGGTGGCGTTCAAGGTTTCCATGAGCATTTGAAGGGAGTTACGGAACTACAAGAAAGGAGAAGCCGTATTGTCGCACGATTGTGACGCAAGTCGGGAATGTGTGGAAGACGGCAAATATCAAACCTGGCAGCCGACGGTCTTCTTGTGCTCCTTGCTGCTGTTGTCGCGGTTCTTGTCAGGTTTGACGCTGAGACGGGTCCTGCCTCCCGTCCCGGGGGCCTGACCCGTCGGGCTGGTGACTTTCCCCTCATCCTGGAACAGCTCCACCAGCAGGTCAAACTGGGTAGAGCAGTCCAAATACAATCATAACGCCGATCGGGATTTACGGTGGATTTCATGCTGGAGATGTGCAGTGAAACCTTGAACATTTTAAACCTTGACGTCGTATAGGTTGGAACATTTTACGGAATTATCTTTAGTCCACAAAGTATGGTTTGCTTTTTCTTTGGCTTTTTTTGTTGTTGTTATTGTGACCATGGAATGCCACCCGTGATGGCAAAGAGGAAATGTGTGGTTGATGACAACCACAGAACTGGAAAAGGAAATTAGCGATAGCTTAGCGAGCTACCATGTCTACATCCTGGCTGCTCAGTCAATATTGTAATGTCAAAGAAGAACAGAAAGACATTTGCCTTCCAGGCACATTCCGCACCACGGAATACTACTCTGCGTTCTCTGAATTATGAATGAATTTCATTTGATTTCTCATAGGTGTGAAACGTGTGAATGTAATTTTTTTTTCTTTTTTTTTTTTGTCTATATGTGCTCTGAATGACAACCGGTCGAAGGTGCACCAATGCCTCTTTTCCAATGGATGGCAGTTAAGGGTCTTAATCTGACCTGGTTTTAGGATGGAAACAGTTTCACTCTGGAACAAATCAAATTTCAGACAAACAGTTCCCGGAATAGATTGAGTGACATCTGACGTTCTCCTGGTGCACAAACAGTGCAGCAATACGTCAATTAATTGTCATACTTGGCACTTACTGTGAAGGGGTTTACAAAACTGTATTTAAGGACTTTCCGTTGTGCAGATCCGACTTTTAGGATGTTTAGTACAGATTTGTAGATTAGTTTTGTTAAAAAAAACAAAACAAAACAAAAAAAACATTCCATCAGTTCAGTCAGGTTGATTGTTATACAAAGCCCCAAACCATCATGTAAAAAAAGTTATGGAAAGCTTCATGTATACTGTAATGTACAGGCGCGTCTCAATAAATAAGAATATCATTCAAAAATTCATTTATTTCAGTAACCGTAATTCAAAAAGTGAAATAACATTCACATCCATTTAAAATAAGAAAAAAAAAATCTTACCGGTACCTAATTTCTATATTTAAGATCCTTTTGATGGATTCTTATGTAATATTCTCAAGTCTTGAGATGATTGATTTTTGTGTTTTTGCTCCTTGTAATCCTTCGTAATCAAAACTGTACACAATAAAACCATTCTCCAGTTCCGTCTGTGTGGAGTGAACCGATATAAAATGAGTTTCACTTTTTGAATTGAACTACAGTGAGTCTCCGGATGGTCGAGGTTCGGCAGTGGCAACTTAACACTCCTATTGTGCGAAAATGCCAAAGTGTAAATTTAACACTCTTTCTTTGCCTCTGTGTGATATGCGTCTTCTTTGTGTTGTTTTAGGCTCATATACTCGCTAACGCTGTCAATAACTGTCATGTCAACGTGTGGTTTGCTTGTCTTGTATAGTTTAATGACTGGATGAAATCGATGATGGACCATAGCTTCGTGGTTGTGCGAATTGTGCGAATGCAAGCTGTTGATGCTTTTTACTTTCTTTTTGAAGTCATATGCTGCTATCTTGTGTCCTCGACATGCAAAATTAAACCCCTTTTTAGCAGGGGTGGGGAGGGAGCGGAAGGGCTTGGTTCCCTTCGACCGTACTGGAATGAATGAAGTTTTCCATGATATTTAGATAAACGGAGACGCGCCTGTATATCCGTTTTTAGTACGGCATGCAGATATGAACTGAGATGTCCTCTTCCGTGCTGTGTTCCTCTTTCCATTGTCAAAAATCAGGACAAACTAAAGACACCTCTCCCAATGTCTCTACTTCCTGGTGACGTGCTTTATTCTTAAACTGCGAATGCCTCGAGTGCTCGCCATGCAGCAACCGACGGCACAAAAACCAAACTCCGTGACCCGGTGCTATTAGAGCGAATAAGTCGGCGAGTGAAAGACAAGATAAAGCAAGAGCCAGAGGCAGATCGGCGTTGCGTGAACGTCGCTGTTTTACCTTCTGCAGACGGGTGGGGAGGGAGGGAGGAGGGTTGTCATGATGAAGACAGAACCAACATACATGGACAACACATGGGAGACAAAATGAAAGCACAACACAGCGACATTAAGATGAAACGTCATCATTTGCATCCCGCGTGTTTCTTGATGGAAAAAATAAACATAAAAAACAAACAGGCAAATTGCTGATGAAAATGAACGGGACGATGATTGAATTTCTCTGGATGAATTCAATTATGATTTGTCACAAACGTTTCTCTCGTATTTTGTGTATTTTCTTTAATGCAGATGCTGCGGATGTCACGTGCAAACATGAAGTGCACGTGAACGAATAACACAGATCAGCTTTTGACCAATCCGAAAACATCTGACCTTTCAGTGTGTCACGGCACATTTCGAAAGACTCAACAAATTTCAAGATTGTGATTCAGAGAATCTATGAACTGTGGGAATTATACTTACCGACGAGTTTAAAAAAAAAAAAGTATTTAGAATTGCGTTATTTGTCCCAAGTATGAGATTTCCACGGCAATTAATGTAGTGCACGGCACATTTTTATTCTGTTCGAGGGACAGCAAATATTTGAGGAAAGATTGATTTATGTACTACATTAAAGTTAACCTTTCTTTATTCATGGTCTTTACCATTTTTCGGTACACTTGCTACAATCTCAGGAGAGCAAATAAAAGAGTTCTAGCAAAGGTTCAGCAGGACAAAGACAGTAAGTGGTATAAACTTTAAGAACACGCGTTAGTATCATCTTTGTCAAAGAACCGCAACTCTTGTACAAGAGTAGGCAATGAGGTGCGAAGTGTCAAATAAATCCGATTATTATGCTAGCCAATAATACGTACACACACACACGCACAGTGAGATTGCTGGGATAAGTTTGGCGGAGAACCTTAAATCCTAATTAAACCAAATCTCATTTAGACCTCATTAAGGCTTAGTCCCAAGTGTTCAAGTCTCACTGATGCAGACCACGTGCACGTGTGGGGGGCAAAACACGGTAACCATTTTGGCCTCATCTGTTGACGACTGAAGGAGACCCACGAAAGCTGCGAGTCGCTGTAAGATCAACACACTGCATCACAGTGTCTGTGTGTGTGTGTGTGTGTGTGGGGGGGGGGGGGGGGGGGGGCAAACACCAGTCAGGATTTAAAGGCTTTTAGTCCGACAAGGTTATTAGAAACTGATCTTGTTCTCAGACTCGCACAGAAAACGTGCAATGTAAAGTTCCTCCTGTTTTGCTCAGATGGGTGCCCCAACTCGAACAGATGAATTCCTCACGCAAATTGATGTCTTCCTTTTTACCAACGTTAAGTGATATCAGTTCATAGATGGTGGTGACCACAAATGAACACGACACAGTGACCGCTCAGTCAATCTGAACTTTGTCGCTAACCAAAACAGTAAAATCTACGCGGCATCCTAAACAGTATCACACACAAACTTCAGTGCAGGGACTTCCCGGCGCAGTATCAAAATGGGATTTGAAATTGATTTTAGGCCATGCTGTGCCTCTAATGACTATTCATGTTTCCATTGACTTTGATCGTACACAATGTTGCATTTGGGCATGATTATGTTTCAGGAGCAATGTGACGGAATAGGACCACTCGGTCTGATTTCATTTTCCTTGTTTTGCTGTATTTCTCCATATTATCCCTTATTGTTTTGGTTTAAAATTGACTTTCACCTGACGCAAATTGTAAAACTGTCCACCAAGATATTTTTTAATACCATAAAAAAATCGAATAAATTAAAGATTCCCTCAGTTAACGCCTGGCCTCTGCAGCTGAAATACAGTAAGCCCTCAACTTGCAAATTAAATGAGCATCAATGTGTATTTTTGGTTTCATGTTACTCTTTTAATATGTGTAAAAAAAAAATCACCACTTCGTTCAGAGGTGCAGTTTCTGCACTGCCCATATGTAGTTGTCTATAAAGCCAGTAGAGGTCGCTGGCACTCCAAGCCGAGTAGACGTCAAACTTATCTTTGTGTGTGTACATCTTACCTTGCTGGCCTTGAGCACCTTGATCTGTTCTTCATTCACCGTGTCCTTGTTCTTCTCCAGGAAACCTTCACATTGATATTCAACCTGAACGAGTACAAGAGAGTTTAGTTGGTGTCAAGAAACGTAAATCAAAAATCAAAAGTGATGATTTTGGAGGTAGGAGGATACGAACAAATGTTGACTGATGTCCATCAGTATCTGTGAAATTCCGGATTTCTAACTGTGTGCCACATCATACTCTACAGTACTGTAGTTCACTATTCACCTGCAATCCCCGCCGATCCACCCAATCACCTATCGATGAGGTTTTACTGAGATTGATTAATGAATCCTTTTTAAATTATACTTGTTGACATTTATTTTTACATGGAAAAAAGTGTGGCTTTGCCCATAGACACCATTAATTAATTAGACAATAATTTTCTATTCAAATACTTTTTTAATTCTAATCATTTTTACAGTGGAAGTGTGGTTTTCTTCATAGATATCAATACATTTAATAATAAACTTAAATATACTTTTTTTGTTTCAATGCTTCAATTTGCATTGACAAGCTGCTTACATTTAAAGGGTTTAAATATTTTTTGTACTAGATGCTTCAGGAAATGTGGCTAAAAACTCAAAAACTGCTCATTTCACATCACACTTATCTGCGCCACTCCATTTTGAGATCAGGGAACCTCATGGGAAAACCTGTGTTCGTCCTTGATCGGTTTATATGTAACCTTACAGCGCGGTGGCTAAAACCGGACACGATAATGTGGCGTTGCACCGAAAGTGAATCTCAACAGCCACTCTAAACGCTCAAAACCTTTTTTGCGTGTGAGAACTGAGATAAGAATAAAGAAAATAATCCTCCGGCTATTCTAAAAATAGCTCACAAGACTGCTGCTGCGGCCAATCTGTTCCTGAACCTTTATTCAAAAAAGACGACTTCTTCAAACCACAAAAAGGTTCTGAGGTGAACATTGGAGTTGAAAAGGTTGAAATGAGTCAGCGCGATGCAAATAGCCCCACCTTATCGGCAAAATGTTGGATGATGAAGGCGCGGTTGGACATGCGCGGCTTCTCAAAAAGGGAGCACGTCTTCAGGTGGGTGTTGTACAACTTCTGAGCCCAGGAATCATCCGAGCCTTTTGGCATCTGGAGGAAAGACAAGGCATCAATCAGGCCAGTGCAGCAACCTAAATGACTTGGCTTAGGACATTTCTTTGTTTGAGATTTTTGTATATATGTACACAGTGCTAAAACATACCCTACACTCTTCATCCAGCAGGTCCAGGACGCCCATCTTGGCTTCGATGAGGTTGATGCAGGGCTGATTGTCGTAGAAGTCAATCAGAGTCCAGGGGATCTGCTCCTTCATGTACTCCTCCTGCTCGAGCTTGAACACGTGCTGCACTCACACAATCACGCACAATGGACATTTAGATGCCAGCTTTCGTCCCAAAAAAATAAATAAATAAAATAAAACTTAAATGTCAAAACAATTCTGCGCACCATGTTGAATTGCTGCTGCAGCTTCTCATTGGCATAGTTGATACAGAACTGCTCGAAGCTGTTGATTTCAAATGTCTCAAACCTTGGAAGAAAAACAGAACATGCATTTTAAAAATCACTCCTTGTTTTCAAATAAAGCAGTCAGGGTTTGCATGTTTTTACCCTGACACACAATCATAATGGATTGGAAAATTATGATGGTGTCGACAGTATATGCCACATACACACAGTGTTGTGGATGAATCAGCTCTATGTGTTAAAATGATTGAATTATCAGTCTCCGCGCTTTTACTTCCACGGGCAGCACATTTGCCTGCCAGATGAAGGGAGTCAGCTGAGTTGTCACGGTAACAAAAACGCGCTATAATTTCTAAATGACATTTACTTTTTGTGCAAAATGAATTTCAAGTCCATGGTGGTAGTGGATAGGGCAAAAAAAAACAAAACACAACATCATAAACAGTCGATGAGATGTCGGACCCGTAAATGTCGAGCACGCCGATGAAGGAGTGCTGTTTGATATTGGTGACTAGCGCTTTGTTGACGTGCTCCACGATCCAGTTGAAGAGCTTGGCGTAGATATGCTTGGACAGGGCGTCGCGGGCGTTGGTGGCCTGCAGCCGGGGGAGGGTCTTGATGTAGGTTTCGGAGGCCGTCTTCAACTTCCGATGGCACAGCCACTGAGCCATGTCCTCGTAGGTCACGCCCACCAGCTCGCAGAACTTGGTCAAGTGATGATTGTTGGGCTGCAAGAAGAGTGAGACAAGATCGTGTATCATTCCCGTGATAACCTCCTGTGGCTCGAATAGCTAATGCGATTGAATTATTTTTCCTAAATCAGTTGGCGAACTAATATCATGAAAAAGTTAGAAAAACAGTCTGAATGCATCAAAAGATATCCTCACAGGAATGAAGCTGCTATCGGAATCTTTGTCTTTGATCTCCACATTTCCCAGATGAAGAATAGCAGCCAGAACTTGAAACAATCCCATCTGATGGGATTCGTTGATCCCTGCGAGGGGAAAACATTTTGTTATTCTACCGGAAACGCAACAGTAACTCAGGCTGGGCGGAATTTACAGAGTGCATCACCCAAAGTAATAAAAAAAAAAAAAAAAAAAAAAAAAAAAAAAAAAAACATTGCAGTAAAGAAGGTAAATTGTGAAAGAAACACAAATGAGACTTCACATAATGTTGGGTATGAGGATAAGATGATCCCTGTTCATCTCGTGAGTTACGTTCCAAACCCACCAGCGATGGTTGAAAATCTACAATATAGAAAGCATTTGAAAAAAATGAAATAAAAACCCTTTAAAAAAAAAAAGATCAATTTAATGGAAAATGCTTCGGCCACCTTAAAATGTACAGAAAATAACAGAATAAAAAATACAGGTAATCATTTGTTTCATCGTTAAGCCCTCCCACACACTCCAATTGATAACTGAAACTTAAACATTACTTTTCAAATACACTGCGAACATGTTTCAACACAAATGTTATGCTCAACAGAAAAATTCACGCTAGAGCGGGACAGCGATAGATGAACCGTCATATAGAGGTGGATTAAGGTTGAGTCTTATTATTAGATGTCAATCATTTGAGCGCGGACCTCTGGCCAAAAGTTGGGGTGGGGGGCTGGGGGTGACAGCATTTGCATTCATTAAATGCTACTCCCAGTTGGAGTTAAGTCATTTACACAGACGTCATGCAAAATTTTAAGCGACAGTGCGTAGTCTGACTTCTTCTCACATGCCAAAAACATGACTCTCAAGTTCAATGAAGACTCTTAAGTTGTCCATCGGTTTGAATGTGAGTGTGAATGTTTGCCTACATGTACCCTGTGAGCGACTGGCGACCAGTCCAAAGAGTAACACGCCTCATGTCAAAAGTCAGCAGGAATAGGCTCGAGATCACCCCGCAAAGACCGGTGATGTCGAGAATGGATGGATAGCGTCTACATCAAAGGTATAGTGAACGGACATCCGCACTGAGTCCGTTCGCGATTCCGCACAGACTGAAATAATGAGTTACCGAGCAAGGAGAAAGCGTGTCGGGTGGTGCACAGCTCCTTGGTGTCATCCACCCCGTCAATAATGGGGCTGCAACCTTGCCGGGTGTACAGGAAGTCGTTTGCGTTACCTGGAGCAGAGAGAAGCCGATTTCAGACAGCTGTACTCTTTCATCTTCCTGTCTAAAGTGCATCAGTTGTGCAAAAATAATTCTTTACATACCAACACTTTAAATCAAGGCATGAAGTGTTGCCTGGTAACGGGGGCACGGATATGACTCACAACTACTCTATTTACCAAGCTAGCAAGTCAGCAGGAGAGGAAATAGGCAGCCGTGTGTGTGTGTGTGTGTGTGTGTGTGTGTGTGTGTGTGTGTGTGTGTGTGTGTGTGTGTGGGCGTGTGGGTGTGTGTGTGTGTGTGTGTGTGTGTGTGTGTGTGTGTGTGTGTGTGTGTGTTCATTGTGACTTTAGCTAGCCGTAACATAGCGACACACGCACACACACAGAGACAACATATTCATCCACATCTCATGATTTCAACACTGTTTGTTCGTCGGCTAACTGAATCGGACCCCCAAAACAAGCTTTTAGCATTTTTCACGAAACACACGTCGTCCTTATCAAAGTTAAGGTGGAGTCCTCTTCAACCGCCGACCGCCAACCTTCACGCTTGTCATGTGTCATGAAGCATCCTACTAGCAATTCGACAGGCCTGATTGCTACCTAAGTAGCTAGGTGACTAGAGGTTCGGCTGTGGCAGTCCCGTGCATGTTTACACTTGCATGGCAGTCAAGAATGTTAAAATGGAAGTGGATTGCAGTTATTATGGCCCTGTCGAACAATTAAGCTTCGGGGAATTACACTGTAGTTTTAAAAGAATTTTGTTTAGCCTCAAGACTACTGTCTTGAACATTCATCTAATATAATCCCCAAATCATGACATTTTTGCCTTGTTTCTTTGAACCCCAGTTTTGTCAGTGAAGTTATGAATCACCTCTAATGAGAAAGGATTCATGCGTTCTCACAATACATTTCCTTCTTCACCGTTCCAATCGTCCACGTGTGTCCCGCATGTCTCGACACGCCGCTGACATCATCCTGTCACGCGCACACTACAAAGTACGTCACGCCGCATTCAGGACGTGCCCTTATCCACAGTGAGGATGATGATTATGTGCGGGGGGGTGACGTCACGGCTGCCGGTCATGGGATACCCTCCCTCTCACAAGCAGATGGGATTATGGGATATGTCTCAGCGGCAGATCTCCCCTGCCTGTGACACAGGTGGTAGTCAACGGTCAGGCTGACATGAATCTCTCCGGAGACTTGGACGCCTGTGGTGAGGTTGCCGTGGGGGCGAACGTTGGCTGTTGGAGCTGTGAGTCAATGGCATCCCCAGTGCAAGGAGTCAGCAAACCTTTTTGCTCGAGGGTAACTTTAGATTTTTTTTCAAATGGACAGAAGAGTAAGGCTATTATTATTATTTTTTATTTTTTTTAAGTGTGTGTGTGTGTGTGTGTGTGTGTGTGTGTGTGTGTGTGTGTGTGTGTGCGCGTGTGTGTGTGTGTGCGCGTGTGCGCTCCATGTCTAAGATGAGCAGGTGCAGGTCCACAGTGGGAGTGCACTGCATGAAAGCGTGTTGGACAACAGACTGTTATGTGTTGCGACTGCAGCAGTGACTTCATCGGATAACGTGACATGAAATGCGATAAGCGATTCAAAACGCCTTCCCGTCTACTTTTGGAAATGCGGAGGGGAAAGTGGAGAGTATCCATTAAAATGTTACTGGACTGAACCACGGCTCGCAAGTAGGTGTGCATTTTGCGTTACGTACTCAGTTTGAGGTTTTTGAACTCCGGCAGATGAGATGATGCGCAGAGCTGATAAAAGATATGATAATTCCTCTCTTCGTCCGCCTGGAAGACAATATCATCAAAAAGGCCAAACAAATTCATGATTAATGTTGGCATCCGTGCATAGAATTCTTGCGGAGAATTACACCAATGTGTTTCTTATTAACTCGTCCTAGGCATCGACATATTTCACCCCTTAGTACATATTTTGGGAGATAATCTCACTCTACAAACTAAAAATTTTGCATAATAATCACCCTACTCCAGCAGAAAAGTGATAACATACTACCTTACACGGGTATGGAACTTGACTGACAATGTCCGACATGTATTAATTCAATAATACCTTCATTATTGCTCTTGAAGTTTGCACTGCAACATACGGATTTTTTTTTTAAACTCCACTTTCATTTCAGACCTTTATAATTCTTGAATTGATTCTCAACATATCCCCATGAGGATGAATGGAGAAAAAAAATAAATGAATAGCATTTTACTGTGGCATTCATGCTTCCACTTCAAAGCACCATTCAAACAAAACACATCTTGTTGATAAATTTGGCGCCTCCAAACTGACTTCCACAGTTTCCAATCATGTATCACTTTAAACAAGCAGGGGAGAAAAATAAACCCATAAAACATAGCCAATCTGTTACTGCACTCACCTGAAAGACCACTCTGGACTTTTCTAGCAGATATGTCCTCATGTTGGCGCCGATGATTCGGTAGCGGTTGTCGAAGCCGATCTCGATGTACTTCCCAAAGCGACTGCTGTTGTCGTTCCGAGTTGTCTTTGCGTTTCCGATAGCCTGGCAGGAATGGGGGGGGGACAAACCTGTTGTCATTTTGCGGCGCAGAGGTCAAACAGAATTTGGGTAGTCTGAATTCACAAGAAATTCCTCATTGGATGCGGTTTTTCTTGATGAACCACATATACTTCCGACCAACACTGGGACACTTTAAATTCCATATTTGCATTTTAACTTGGGAAAAATGCATACCTGTCATGTGACAAGACTACATAATATAGAATTTATGATGGCAACAGCTTGATTCAGTTCCATATGGTTGTAAATGAACAAACCCTAGGGAGGTTGTACTGCAATGTGTGTTTGTTGCCGAGGCCAACAATTCAGTCTTTCACTGCATATTTAATCTGCCCGCGTCAGCCAAAGTAATTTAAATGCCTCACACAAACATCCCTTGGCCTTCTTGCACACGCGCACGCGCACGCACACACACACACACACACACACACACACACACGCAGGTTCTGTAATATGGAAAAAGGCTGATGCAGTTGTAGATGTTGCAGTGACATCACTGTGACGGAAGAAAGCTTTCTATTCATTCCCCGAGCTCCGCTCTGATTGGTCGGATCAAGGTGGAAGCGGACAGGAGGAGGGGAGCGAGGCTCATAGCGGGGGGAGTGCAAGAGAGGAAATAAGAGAGTCACCTCCATGATGGGGTTGGATGCCAAGACTTTCTCCTCGACGTTGGCCTCGCTGGCTGAGCCACTGACCGTGGCAAAGTATCTCATGGCGTACTTGGCTGATACGGTCTTCCCTGCCCCAGACTCGCCGCTCACGATGATGGACTGGTTCCTCTCATCCCTGCAACAAGGGAATAAATGGAACCGCTGCTTGTGGGTGGCACATTTTGCGCAGCGTGCTTTAGAGAGGAAAGTTGGAAAAATCAAAAAGTGAGTGAATTTAGTGAAGTGAGGGAATTTCCATGTCGGCTACTAACAGATGTAGTTTCCATGGTCCCTTTAATGTCGAGTGAGAGGAAGAGTGAGTGAGTGAGGGTGCAGTGCTCCATGGCACATAAACAATGAATGAAGCTCGATCCAGAGCGAAAACAACAACTAATGTCTGTCTCCGCTCATTCCTGTGTTGGGAGAAAAACAGGGAATTATTCCTGAAGTGCAGATATTCATGCCTCCAGCTCTCGAGTTGCAGACGGAGCTCAGGAGCCTCAAGCAGGAAGGGCGGACAAAGCCAAAAATGTGCTCGGGTTGACTGCTTAAGTCCTTTCTCTTGAAATCATTTCATGCTTCAAAAAGACTTCGTAGTTGCTGCTTGGCAAAATTTTACACTTATTTGGGTTCAAATCACACTCAAATCACTCCTATGTGTTTAAAAGAAACAATTGGGGGTGGGGGGCTTGTATTACATCATGTACTGGTCGTGTGTCACATGGAATAAAGTGTAAGCTGCAGTTCTCTTCTAAGCTCCTTTTTCTTTGTACTTTGATATCAGGGGATGTCATTGTAGAAGAAAGTGGGCCAGACGCTTGACATTTTTCCATCTCGAGCTACTCAACGAACACTCCCTCTCTCTTTGAGGAGACAGGATATTCCTTTGAATGCCCTCTTTCATGAACTCTCGTTCGGGCCGCCCTTTGGGTGCAGGAATCTTAAATTGACCCAAAATGCCCCTCAAAGGCTCCGCAACACACTCGCTGCACTGTTATTTGAAATGTCAGTGAAGCAATAGGTTGCACAAGTCAAGTGTTGTTATTAGAATTCAAGTATTCATGCAGGAACATCGAAATTTGAACGTCCCATGGGTCAAATCATTTTAATTGTATTCTACTTTACTGTATTTTACACTCACTCATTTTCTTTTGTATTTTACTATGTTTGCATTCATTTTTTTTTTCAAATTAATAAGCACCTTGTAATTTTGTTTCGAAATGTGACATGCCCTAAATATGACAGACAAACCCAGAAGAGCAACAAGGAAGCTTCAATCAAGTCCGGGATCATACAAACCTCGCCATCTGTTTGTAAGCTTCCTCTGCTACAGCAAAGATGTGTGGGTCCATGTCGCCCATGTTCTGACCGCTGTACGCATTGATGATGTCTGTCCCGTAAATGGGCAGCGTCTCATACGGGTTGATGGCCACCAAAACAATCCCTGAGAAACACAGGGAACACCCAAAATATGATCAGGGTTGAAAAGGGGGGGGAAATGTCCAGTAAGTTTTAAGGAAAGTTTCATGAGAACTTCCATTATAATGCAGAACACTTTTTACACTTTAAAAGTCCTTGTTTTGTAATACCAGAACAAAAGGAGACATGTAAAAAGGTCATACAAGAGAATAGAAATAAAGCATCTCAAGGACACTTGGAAGGCATGGTCATAGATGGCCACAATGCATTCTACCCGCGCATCGTCCAACTGTATTCCCTCATCAGGTGACTGGGGGTGATTATGGACCAATTGCTGAGTACGGATGAGTACAGATTCCCGGTACCTGGGAATCGATATCTGTGAACTGTGTCATAAGGTGAGCTGGCATGAATAAAAAGAAGTCAGAGAAGAAATTCTGTGTTCAGTAATAAACCATTGCAATGCTATGACTCACATTCGCTAACAATCCACAACAGCAATAACGCACGCTGCCCTCTTACCGCAATAAGTGTAGATGAGCTTGGAGTCGATGAAGCGGACTTTGAGGTTGTGCAGCACTGCCGGCTCATGGAGGTAGCTGAGCGCTGTGAGGTCATTCTCGCCCACCAGGATGTCAGGGTTTCGCAGGTAGGGCAGGTTCTTGGTTTTGGGGTCCAGCTTGTGCTCAAGATTCTGAGGGTGGGAAAATAAAGAGATGTGCCATTAAGATCATGCACTCAATAAACACGACCCCCCCCCCCCCCAACCCCCCATACCCATGGTTCAGCCCCCCCGGCCTCGCATTTTCACAGATCTTTTTTTTTTTTTACATTTTTCCCCATTTGCCCCATATTCCGTGGAAAAAAAAATTATAATAATATTTTGAGTTTGTGGGGGGGGAACATGTGCATTTCAATCGCTGCCAAATTACAGGGAGATTTGCGTGATTCACAGACCGGCCCGAGCATGATTAAAAAGGACCATACTGTGGACAATTCATTTTTAATTGCTTGTATACAAATAGTTAAATTTTTTGCAGTGTCTGCTCACCTAACAGCAGTGAAAACCTTCGAACTAACCAAATAGTTTGCTACCAGCTAATTTCTAAAACTGTGTCTCACTCAAGAGTGTGCCATTCTGCACTTCTGCCTCATCGTTACGGATTCCAACAGCATGGCGAATTTTCTCCACCTATGAATTGGCTGGCTAAAGAACCAAGATCCTTCAGATTAAAATGATGGTTGGACCACACTGAATCGCTATATTGTCAAAGCTAGGAGATGAGCAAAGCTGTAGTGACCTTCTGATCAGCAGCACACTCGAATGCTTTGCAAAGTTGTCGACGTTGGGCCTGGGGTATTCATTGATATCTTTTGCTGCATGCGCCACATACACTAATTGACGAGTTCAATTATGCTGCTTGGTGTTGCCGACATGATTTAAAATGTCTTTCTTTTGCTACTTTATGGGTTCCTTTCTCTTTCTCTGCTTGCCTTTGAGTTTAGAAGCTGGGCCATTTGAGGCAAAAAAAAAATAAAATAAATCGCGACTCTCCTCGTCACATTCCCCAGCTCCGCGCCGGTTCCCATGGTAATGAAAGACTATTATATAAAACGAGGGGTGCTAGCGAGACAGAGCAAAACCAAAACCAAAAACAAAGATTAAAAAAAAAAAAAAATTCAATTTGACTTCCAAATTCATGTTAAGTGCAAAAAATTTTAATCTTTTGTGTATTTTGAGCGAAGAATGAGGCACCTATCAACTTCTATAAAACGTAAAAAAGTCTCCTTTAAGATTCTTGCCTTATTTGTAGTTAGAATCAAAATTATTGTTATCATTTTTAATACATGTATTTTTTAATTCCTCGTAAACTGAATTTATTTGTAAAATGTACAAACTTTTAACAAATGGTCACTTTCCTTTGTTGGTTACACAGATTTAAGCAGAACTGCATTGTCATGAGACAACAACAACAACAACCATAGGCTATATTTATTCAACAAAAAAATCAGGTTTCGGTAAGATTTGCTCAACTCCCTTTTGAATGACATCCACTCTCTGAAGAAAAAAGAAAGCAACAGCAAAAGAAAAAACAGTGATGAAAACAGGAGGCTTTAGGCAAGTGTAAGGTGACTTTGATAGACTGACATCCGTCACCGAAGGTCATTGTCCTAAAATATTAGATCATCACTCGATACTTGTACCCCTTTTTTGCTTCAGTCTAAAATGTCAATTTTATACACTGAGCTATAAGAGCATCCATCTCGTATACTCACCCGCGCCTTCATTGGGAGAAACATATTCAATCAAGTTTCCCCTCACATACTGCATCCAGCGGAGTTTTAGTTAAAATCCATTTGGAGAAGTCGCTGGGAGGGACAGCGCGGGGCTACTTGCTACAAGTCAACATGTCTGACTGGACATGCGAGTAGCTGTCGTTGAAATAATCAATAAGACGCCCCCCCCCCCCCCCTACTGAATGGATTCCAAATGCATTTGGCACAGACAAGTGTAACTTATCAGATATATGTCATGGGATGTGCTCCTCATGACTTTGGTTAAAAGCGCCCCGCTCAACGATGTTGTTGTTTACGCATACGTTTACAGTGGCACTGCTGTTAATTGCTTTTTAGCTGGCACGTCTCATCTTCAAACATAATATCTGGAAAAATGCAGTTTAGCATATTCTGCCGTCTGATGCACGTCTAATCGGGCCATGGGAAATGCGTGATGTTTTGCTTCGTGGCAACAGCTTTTTGGAAAATTCACATCAAGATATTAGTCTCTCGTTCTCGGTAAATACAGTTTGCAGTGACAGTGAATGCCTAATTACAGCACAGAGATGTCGCAAACCTAACAGGACAAAGCCTACTATTTTGCAGCGCGAGCACGAGTGCAGTGGAACCTTGGAAGGCGATTTGTTTGGATTTTGAAACATTTTACAGCAGAAAATGTCAGCAGGACTTGCATTTGGAACCTGGGCCTTCTATGGGGATTTGGCTAAATAAAGCCAACACGTGTGACGTCACAATTAGGAAAACCATCAGTCCAATACCAAAAAAAAAAAAAAAGTAACAGCAGAGAACTGCTATTTAATGACATGATAAAAACCTTTAAAAATGAAATCAAAATACATCTCACCAGAGATGCTTACTATTAAATGCAACAATGTATTTTTATCGTAACAGATGTGTTTTGCATGTCAAACAAATAAAGGCTTGAATCGCAAGAGTGCTGGTGGTGCTTTTGAGGAATGAATTTTGCAGCTGTACATTTAAATTGCTCCAAGTGCATCTTGGTCAACCTAATTTGTTTTGCAAGCTAAAACCAATAATGCTAATGAGACTCTGATGTGTCTTAGCGGTGCGAAGATGAACAGATGGGCTGAAGTGAGGTAGCAGCAAGACGATTCACGACGAACCTTTCCATCCTCCAACATGAGCTGCAGAGAGGCGTCACCATTTTTGTAGTCCTTGGTCAGCTCGGCCGACTTCCACACTTCTTCGATGTCGGGGATCCACACCCGAGCACACTGTGAAAGACAAGAAAAAAAAAATTGACATCAAGCCAGTTGATGGGCTTACACACGCGGAGACCTCAGTTTGCACACTGCAATGCCACCCGCCACCTCGTTTTACAAATAGAAGGACAGAGCCGACCCATAAAAATTGGCTAATTTCAGCAAAACAAAAAATGGGATAGGTACAATTTTCGATAACTCTTGATAGTTCATGGATATGGATGAAAAAGCGTTACGTACATTAGTAGGACACGACTAACCTGTTTCAAATTGTGAAACAAAAATGCAAACTTGGTCTTTATTCTTGAAAGACAGTAGCGTGCTGAATTTACAGCTGATCAAGTGAATCAAAACCAGAGCTCAAAACTCACGACGTAGGCTCGCAGGGGACACCGTGGGTTTGATGACTTCACAATATCATCCACTTCCCAACCAGGATCATCAGACCACAAAAAGAAAAATGACCATAACAACTGATTGCACCCTTACATTGGCGATACCATCTGCAACGAGCATGCCACTTAATAGCATGTAACTAGATTGAGTGGGAATGCTTGTTATCACATGGCCAGAGGGGGAAAATCCCCAAATGTCCTCCAAAGTTAGCTTTTGTTGATTGTACTGTATTTTTATGTTATTTGACTGATTGCATTTGATTAAATTCTGTCTGCGCTGTTGGCCACTGCAAGATGTCCACTGCTGCATTGGCTTCCATTCGCGGGGGAGACTCGTTTGATCGTATTTGTAGCAAACATCTGTCAGATGCTCTCATGGTAGCGCTTGCCAGCCTGTTATTCCCGTGACAGTGATTCTCGAGTATCCTCCTTTTCCTAAATGTGCCAGGGTTTCCCCCAAGTTTACTGAGAGAGAGAGAGAGAGAGAGAGAGAGAGAGAGAGAGAGAGAGAGAGCGAGAGAGAGAGAGCGAGAGAGCTAGCAAGCTAGCTAGCTAGCCCGCCAGCTAGCTGGCCAGCCCGCCAGCTAGGTAGATAGCTAGCTAGCCTGCCAGCTAG